GGGAATAAACAGAGAAATGTCTGAATAATTAGTGTTTTGACTGCATATATCCCACTCTGAATCACAAAACCTTACCTGAAGTCTTGTGTTGCACAGGCATATTTTTGCCAATAGCCTAAAACACATTAAGTAAGATGTTTTGATTTTATTTTTATGGCAAAATCATTTGAATATTAAGTAAAAATCCTGTTGAATGAGCATATTTTACTATTTTTAATTAATAATGTCCATTGTTAAACACTTAATTTAGACTAATTTAAAGGTGTTTTTTGCAATAATTCAATTTATTGTTATTGTTTTTAACACCACACCAGAATTCCATATAATTGTATCTCTGACAAATATAGTTATCCTACATCACTGGAAAGCATTTGAGACTGGTTTTATGGTCCAGGATCACATATTATAGTTTGATTTTAACCCTTGTGTACGGTTCAAAATTGACTACCCTTTATGTCGGTGTCTGATTTGCTCCTTTGACTTCCATTATAACCACATTTTTTGATTGCAAAGCCGTGAGACCATATAGTCATGCATTCTTGATTGTTGCCGGTTTTCCCTGTTGGGAAGAGGTCAAATGTGTCATTTTACTGTTGATTATCAGTTGACAGCATTAACCCTTTAGGTCAGGGGTGCCCAAACAAAGGGCCAAAAACCAAATTTGATTGAGGGCTGTGGGCCGAAGGTAAATATACCAGACTGCACTGTAAAAAATGCTGTGTTCCACACAATTCATTCAGGTTGTTTAACTAAATTGTATCCACGTTAAAGGTGGATTGAATGTGTGTGTGTGTGTGTGTGTGTGTGTGTGTGTGTGTGTGTGTGTGTGTGTGTGTGTGTGTGTGTGTGTGTGTGTGTGTGTGTGTGTGTATATATATATATATATATATTTATATACTATTTACATACATAACATACATTTACATATACATACATAACATAACGGAGAGAAGATTTTTTTCAATACATAATAGTTTTAATAACTCCTCTCTAATAACTAGTTTATTTTATATTTGCCATGATGACAGTACATACTTTTTGACTAGATATTTGTGAAGACACTTCTATACACGTAAAGTGATATTTAAAGGCTTAACAGAGTTAATTAGGTTAACTAGGCAGGTTACGGTTATTTGGCAAGTTATTGTATAATGATGGTTTGTTCTGTAGACTATCGAAAATAAATATTCCTTAAAGGGGCTAATAATTTTGACCTTTTATTCTGGCCGAAATAAGACTTTCTCCAGAAGAAAAAAAAAAAACATTATCAGACACACTGTGAAGCTTTTCTTGCTCTGAGTGTTTATTACATTGAAGTTTCCATTGGTAATTCCCTAATTTATTTCATTATTAATTCATAAATATTTTAACATTTTTAGAATGAAATGTTTCCATAATAGAATAAAAACATAATTCCTTTTTTGAATGCAATGGAGATCAATGCTGAATACACTAGTAAAGCTGCACTTGCCTCTGCTGATGTCTTCTGTATGGTCTTCTTCAAAGGTCTCACACACACACATACATTATACTCCATATAGGAGGCAGGAGACAGGAGCTTTTTTTGCACTGCAATCAACAGTACAAAAAAAAATTGTACCTCTTCCCAACATGGAAAACTATCAACAATCAAGAATTCATGATTATATGCTGTCATGGCTTTGCAATCAAAAGATGTCATTATAATGGAAGTCAATGGGGCAAAAACAGCCCCGAACATAACGAAAGGGTAGTACTTTTGCCCAGAGTGTAAAAAGCAAAATATGTGTCAAAAAAGGGTTTGTCAACAAAAATCATTCCATTTGCTGAAACACAAACAAAGTTTTGGTCATATTAAGACTCAAAATGGAGGATCAAATCATCCCCAACAACACATGAGGGCTAAAATCAAGTTTAGCTTGAATTCATCCCTAAAGTGTCTTCTTCTTCCTCTCACAGAGTGTAACCCCGGCTTCTACCTGTACCAGAAGGGCTGTGTAAGAGACTGTCCTGCTGGTTTCACAGAAGGCTCCCGTCCCACTATCCTCAATAATGAGCTGTCATCCGTCCTCCACCCTGCCTGCCTGCCCTGCCACTCCGTCTGCCTCACCTGCAGCGGGACAGGGCCTCAGGACTGCCTGTCCTGTCCGCCACACAGCCACCTGGGCCCGCTGACCGGCACCTGCCTGCATCAGAACCAGATCCAGCGCGAGTCTCCGGACGGCAGACTGTTCCAGGCACAGGGCGACAGCTTGTCCTTTGTGCACCAGCCCGCGCTCTCATCCAGCCTGCCTGCCATTGTGGCCGTGCTCAGCTGTGCCTTCATCGTGGCCACGTTTGTGGGTGTTTTCGGTTTGCTGCAGCTGCGCACGCTTGGACAGAAAAAACAGCACTTAGGCCAAGAAGAGCCAGGGTCTGGATTACTGGTTGGATGGGGCTTGAACCGCACCGAAGTCGCCTATAAGGGCATCCCGAGTGTCTGGAGGGAAGACGAAGAGGAGTCGGAAAACGAGGAATTTGGTATCCACAACGAGAGGACTGCCTTTATCAAAACACAAAGTGCTCTTTAACCCTTCTCTAGCATCTACTGCACTGTTGTCTCTCTTTTGATTTGATTTTTGTGCATTTTCCTTCTGGGGTTCGTCTGAATACTCTGAATACTCACTTTTTGCGGTGTTTTGGGTTGGTTTTCCGTTTCTCTTGGGTTAATTGAGCCATGATTCACTTGGGTGTTTGATCTTTTGGTGCCTCATCGTGGGAAGCTTCCAATCTAAAATGGCCAGGGTGAAAACGATTGTCCCAAATCTACAATAAAACATAAGTCTATACTTTGGGCGCTTTCTCTTGCCTAGTGAGATTTTAAAGGAGCACTTATTTTTGAAATATGCTCAGTTTACATGTCATCTGCAGGTAAATTGTTGTGTTTTACCATTTTTGAATCCATTCAGCTGATCTATGGGTCTTTCAGGAACGCTTTTAGCTTAGCTTAGCATAGATCATTGAATCAGATTAGACCATTAGCATCTTTAAAAATGACCAGAGTCTCCATAATTTTCCTATTTAAAGCTTGACTGGTTACACTGTGTAGGAAGACCAACAGAAAATTAAAATTAAATTACTTTCTAGGCTAATATGGCTAGGATCTATACTCTCGCTGTGTAATATCATTGCACCTGCACTCATGGTATGGCAGCAAAGTTTAGATCTTGGGCATATCTGACAAGAAAAATGCCATTTTTAATTTTCTGTCGGTCTTACAGTACACGATTTAATTACAGGAGAGTCCAGCTTTGACCAGGAAAATGATCAAAAACCTTTTGTTTTCTGTTTTTTATGAGCGTGATGCTCATGGGCTAATCTGATTTAATGATTTATGCTAAGCTAAGCTAAAAGTGCTTCCCCCATACCCAGAAATCAGCCTAATTAGTTAAAATATGGTTAAACTCGGCTTTTAACTTTAGGAGAGCTGTAAAATGAGCCTATTTGCAAAGAAAAGTGTTTCTTTAAGGGAAATATTTCAAGATTTAAATGATTGAGTGTGAGAAAATCAAAACTATTTTTTTTTTTTTTTTTTTAGATGAGTGAATGAGTGTGAAAGTGTGTTTGTATGATGTGGGTCAGGGCTGCAGTGTCTCAGATCCACTGGCTTTGCGCAGGGAGCCTTCCAGAAGAACATATCACTATATTTCCATAGCACATGGTCAGACATGGAGAGGAGAGCGCTGTGCTGCTAGTAGAGCTCACTGCTCCCTCTAGAGCATTGAAATTGCTGAATTTAGGATTTTGTTTTAGCAAACTCATGTAAGCTGGATAAAGGAATAATTCTCCAAAAAGATGAATTGTCATTCGCTCACTCTTGTGACTTTTCAGACCTGTATGACTGCAAAATATGTATGATATCGCAAACATAAATGGGGATGGATCATTGTCATTCGTCACTGGCAAAATCACGACGGCAAAGCAAATTTTTTCTTATTTATATCATCTAGAGTGAATTTAATGCGCATAACTGCAATATTTCATAAATCAAACTTCTTTGAGCATAAATAGAAGAGGGAACTGTGAGAGAGATGTGTAAAATGATTTTAAAAAGCTCCATAAATATAGTTTGCAAATGTTTACAGCTACACGTCGACACTCGTTTCGTAAATGTCAAAAAAATATCAAAATGAAACTTTTACTGCATCATTTTAATTAAATCTGGCATTTGAAAAGATGGATTAATGGTTATTTGCAAACATAGACTTAAATAGCAATGTTTACCTTGCACAAATCTTGCACAAGTTTCATTTTGGATGTTGACACACTTCCGTCCTCATTTAGTCTCTAGTTGTAAAAGGATTGACTGAAAACTTGCTGTTCATTTATTCACAATCTGATTGACGTTTAGTTAAAGTCACTTTTGGTGATTTATGAAACATTAATCTAAATCAGTGGTGTTCAAACTCCTCCTGGAGTGCCGGTGTCCTGCAGATTTTAGCACCAACTTGCCTCAACACACCCGCAAGGATGCTTCTAGATAGCCTAGTAAGAGCTTGATTAGCTAGCCCGGGTGTGATTAGGGTTAGAACTAAACTTTGCAGGACACTGGCCCTCCAGGACTGAGTTTGGACACCCCTGCTCTAAATCTACAACCTTTTCAGAGTAAAAAATAGTAATGAGTAAAAAAGAATAAATAGAAAAGTACAACTATCTGAAAAACTGGTCTGTGCAATGAAATGTACTTTAAAGAGGGCAGTAATGAATCGAATCTAAGAATAAGTATTGTCAGGAACTAAAGGTACTCATTTAGTTTTACCTGTATGTTGTTGTTTTTTTTACTCTCATAAGACCTGAGAGAATAAATTAACAGCAAATCTTCATTCCTAGGTGAACTATGCTTTTAAAAGTGAGATCTCATACAGGTTTGAAATAACTCGAGTAAATGAAAACAGTTTGTGTTTTCATATTTGACAACAGCTGACTGTATATGAAGAAAAAATCTTGAAAATATTAACGGCAGCATCGTTCAACTGTTATATCGAACTCTGTCCTCCAGTCAAGGGTTTAAAACGCAATGAAGGCTCCAGGCTTCCTAATCCATTTATTATAGGGTGTAAAAGAGCTCTACTTGAGATCAAAATAATAAAAAATAGGGCTTTGATGATCCAGACGAGCTCTTCTATCTGCTCATCACCTCCTTTTCTTTTGCTTACTACTGTAGTAGTAGTAGTAGTACGCTTCAACCAGAATATATTAATATTTTTTTCTTCTTTATTTATCCGAATCACATATTCACGGTCAACAAATGCCGTATCTTTACAATAATTTCCATTAAATCTGTGCGACTAGTATTATCTTATCATATAATTATTGGTGAAACGAAATGGATAAGGATAAACTACTTGCACCATACTCATCCTTCCCTTAGTTTAGCTTGGATGTTTGTTTTTTTTTTTTTTTTTATCAGGGTGTCAACAGGAGTTATTATCATTATTATTAAATGTGAAGTGTGATCTGTTCATTGACACTTTTTCAATCGCAAGGTCCATAAACCAACAGTAGATATTAATTTGTGGCACACTAGATTTTCACAGCTATTGCACATCAAATGACTTAATAATGTTTGGGTTTTGGCACCGTTCACTCCCCATTCCACAGTCATCAAAAGGCTCAATCTCGATATATGATAAGATAATCACTTTTTCACTGTCCTTGTGTTGAACATTGGGCATATTAGTCAAAAATAAATAGGAATATATTAATTTTTTTTTCACTTCTATTTGATTTTGCATATCAACATTATTTTAAATATATATTTTTTAATTTAAAAGTTTTCTTTTTCACTTTTTTGCATGCATGGGTTCTTGTTTTCCTTTTTTTAAAATTATTATTATTATCATAATTTTTTACAGCCAATTACTAAACTCGAGATAGTCCATTCATTCATATCATATTAATTAGGGTATGCTGGGCCAAATTGTATTTTTTTTCCCTTTTTTTTTTTTTGGAGCATTTTTGTATACATTTACCTCTCCCACTCGATTCTTTTAAGCTCAGAGTGAAAGTTGGCCCACGCTGAGCTCTTCCGCCCCCCTGCGGAACCCATCTGCTATTACAGCTGTGTTTTGGAAAGCCTTAAAGTGTACAAAAGGCACGACCAAAGACCACAAGATGAAAATCTGCTTGCCTTAGAGTGACGCCTGACCTGAAAAACACATCTAGATAATATTGTGGTGGATTGTTTTCTCTCTTTGCTATGTTGAGTTGTGCTGTTGCAGTGTGGCTATACGCATTGTCTCCGAGAAAATGCTTCGAAGGTGCTGTCGAATGACTAGTTTAGCTGGTGGTTGTGGTCTGAACACTGCTGTAGCAAAGCAGTTTTTAATTACAGTAAGCCACGCTTGATATGTTTTCACCCTGATGGTGCAATGATCGCATTGTGTGTGTGTGTGTGTGTGTGTGTGTGTGTGTGTGTGTGTGTGTGTGTGTGTGTGTGTGTGTGTGTGTGCGCGCGTGTGCTCAAGGACAACCTTCTGTAGTCATAGGATTATTTTCACTTTTATTTGAAGAGTCAACTGATGCTTGTAGATCCCCCAGTAGAAAACACCAATCATTTGTATGACTACCTGAGACGGGACGACTATATAAGAAATAAGGCCTATTTTTGTACTATATATATGGTGCATTGTCATTTACATGTAATTTAAAGATTACTTTGCTCTTCTTTTTTCTTTTTATTTAATTGATGTCAATATGCGAATTATAGATTATACAAAAAATAAAGATCTATGCAAACGTAAGCATTTTGTCTTATGAGCTGTGTGTTGTGTTATTGATGGGTAGTCAGAATAATGTTGGGTCTGCGCTGAAAGTGGGTGGCTGAAATGCTCTGACAAGAGAAAGGAAAATGTTGAGGTAAAAATAAATGGCATCCTGTTGTGGTTGAAGTGTTGCGAGCGATGAATTCACAAGTCATTTTTGACCATACGCTACAAAAAAGGTTGTTACACTGTACAAACATGTTGGGTTCTGCACAATGGATTTGTGTGAGGACAACATGAACGAAATAAGTCACAATTATGTGGATTGCATATAAAACAACTCCGTTATCCTCCCTCAAAGAAAAAAAAAATACAAAATTGTGTTTCAGCTCATTTTATATACACTCACCGGCCACTTTATTAGGTACACCTGTCCAACTGCTTGTTAACGCAAATTTCTAATCAGCCAATCACATGGCAGCAACTCAATGCATTTAGGCATGTAGACTTGGTCAAGACAATCTGCTGAAGTTCAAACCGAGCATCAGAATGGGGAAGAAAGGGGATTTAAGTGACTTTGTATGTGGCTTGGTTGCTGGTGCCAGACGTGCTGGTCTGAGTATTTCAGAAACTGCTGATCTACTGGGATTTTCACACACAACCATCTCTAGTGTTCACAGAGAATGATCAGAAAAACAAAATATCCACTGAGCGGCAGTTCTATGGGTGCAAATGACTTGTTGATGCCAAAGGTCAGAGGAGAATGGCCAGACTGGTTTGAGCTGATAGAAAGGCAACAGTAACTCAAATAACCACTCGTTACAACCGAGGTCTGCAGAAGAGCATCTCTGAATGCACAACATGTTCAACCTTGAGCCGGATGGGCTACAGCAGCAGAAGACCAAATCGGGTGCCACTCCTGTCAGCTAAGAAGAGAAAACTGAGGCTACCGTTCGCAGAGACTCACCAAAAATGGACAATAGAAGACTAGAGAAATGTTGCCTGGTCAGGGTCAGAATTCGGCATCAACAACATGAAAGCATGGATCCATCCTGCCTTGTATCAACAGTTCAGGCTGGTGGTGGTGGTGGAGTAATGGTGTGGAGGATATTTTCTTGGCACACTTTGGATAACGCGCCATGTCATAAAGCGTAAATCATCTCAGACTGGTTTCTTTAACATGACAAGTAGTTCACTGTACTCAAATGGCCTCCAAAGTCTCCAGATCTCAATCCAATAGAGCACCTTTAGGATGTGGTGGAACGGGAGATTCACATCATGGATGTGCAGCTGACAAATCTGCAGCAACTGTGTGATGCTTTCATGTCAATATGGAGCAAAATCTCTGAGGAATATTTTCAGCACCTTGTTAAATCTACGCCACAACGGATAAAGAGAGTTCTGAAGGCTAAGAGGGTCCAACCCGGTTGTACCCAATAATGTGGCCAGTACACCACAACTAACAGAAAACCTTTTGAGTGTTTTTTATTTATTTATTATTAAATGTGTGTGTTTGTAGAATCCAATCTATCAAACTGTTTACCTACTGGTTGGTGCGTCTGCTGTTTATTTAAAACCGTGACTGGGAAACACTGTGATAATGAAATGAAAATGAAACGATCTCGGCTTTGCCAATTTTGCAACAAGTGTGAACTTCCAGACAACTTCCCTCAGTTTGTACAGCGTTACATCAGTGCACCACAAATGATGAGCAAACCTCAGCAAAACATTCTCACATGAGACCATATCAAGTGTCATTTATAAAATAATTCATCCTAACAGACGCGCGACAGCTGGGTCAGTTGGCATTTTTGTGTGGAGTTTGCATGTTCTCCCCATGTTGGCGTGGGTTTCCTCCCCTACAGTCCAAAGACTTGCACTATAGGTGTATTGAATAAGCTAAATTGGCCGTAGTCTATGAGTGTGTGAATGTGAGTGTGTATGGGTGTTTCCCAGTACTGGGATGCAGCTGGAAGGGCATCCACTGTGCCCAAAACATTTGCTGGAATAGTTGGTTGTTCATTCTGCTGTGGCGACCCTTGATAAATAAGGGACTAAGGCAAAGGAACATGCATGAAGGTTATCATGCCGTTATTTTCAGATAAACACAGCTAAAGTAGTTTCAGTAGAGCACAGTACTGTTTCATTTATCACTACACCGAATGATTTCAGCTGTATTTCACAGCTACAACAGTCAACAATAAAGTCAAAACAAATAGCTTTAGATGAGATGTGTGAGAAACTACTGCTAGTTTCAGCTGTTTGAGGGTAAAATTACTGATAAATGTCTTGAAACACAACAACTGAACAGTCTTTAGGTGTGGTAAGCAGAATAATCATCTCTAGTTTGTGCACACCTGAGGTAGCAGTACCTCGGCTTTGCCTTATTTTCTAATAACTCAATGGCTCAATGTCATTTATTTCTTACTTAATCTATAAAACTTAAAGCTAACATTTACTGTTTATCAAACAGGTTCTAATTCTACTTGTGTTAAATTAGTTAAAAAGGTAAAACTTAAGTTTTTAGTCTATATACATTTTTCTAAACAAAATTCTGTGCTGAAATTTCTCTGACTGTTTAGTTGCTAATGATTTGCCTATTAACCTAGTTAAGCCTTTAAATGTCACTTTAAGCTGTATAGAAGTGTCTTGTGATATGTAGTAAACAATTATGTGCTGTCATCATGGCAAAGATAAAATTTAAATGATTAAATTTCAGTTTCAGTTATTAAATGAGTGATTAAAATGAATATTAGAAATGAGTTATTAAAACGATTATGTTTAGAAATGTGTTGAAAAAAAGTTCTCTCCATTAAACAAATTGGGGACAAAAATGTACAAAGGGGTGAATAAATCAGGAGGGCTATATTTATGTTAACCATAGAATAATTGACTCTTGTTTGTTGAATTATTAGAAAACAAAGCACACCTGAGGTGTAATAGCACCACCTTGGCTGTGCATAATTTTCAAATAATTCAATGGTCTGTCATTGGTTATTTCTTACTTTAACTATGAAACTAAAATGTAATATTTATTGTACATTTGTTTACCAACACAGATTAAACTTTTAGTTGGTATATAGATTTTATTATTATTATTATTCTGTGCAGTAACGGCAAAAAAAAAAAGGCGGCAGTTTCTGTCTGACATACATGTCTTTAGTTGCTAATGATTTGTCTACTTAGTTGAGCCTTCCCTGTTGAATAATCCAGCTTAAACCAACCTAAGCTGGTTTTAGCTGGTTGACCAGACTGGTTTTAGAGGGGTTTTTGGCCATTTCCAGGCTGGTCAGGCTGGAAAATGACGAGCTAAAACCAGCTTGACCAGCCTGATTTAAGCTGGTTTTAGCTGGTCATCTTCCAGCCTGACCTGCTAAGACCAGGCTGGAAACTAGCCTGGAAATGGCCAAAACCCCTCTAAAACCAGCCTGGTCAACCAGCTAAAACCAGCCAACCAGCCTAGGCTGGTTTAAGCAGTTTTTCAGTAGGGTTTAAGTTGCATTTTAAACAGAGTATGTTGACAAATATCTCAAATGTACTGTCATCATGGCAAAGATAAAAGAAAGAAATAGTTCATTTAAAATGATTAAATTGGTTACTAAAACTATTAAGTTTTGTGTTAAAAAAAACTTTGTTAAATAAAAATTTGGTGACAAAAAGTACAGGGGGGCTAATAATTCAGGATCGGGGGCTAATAATTCTGACTGCAACTGCAGGCTATATAAATCTAAATTAGCTACCAAACGATATCACACTTTTGTGGTCAGTGGTCACAATAACAATAGCCAGCAGATGGGTTCTGCAATAGTATTGCTGGTGTGTAGCTCAGGTGTTGAGGTGCATTAGCGGTTTAATCCTGTTCACAGTGAGTCTGCGTCCTGCTTCATGTCTTCCTGGTTTTAACTCAACAGCTGCCGCCTGCAGCTTCATTCTGTCAACACTTCGCCCTGTTCGTCTCAGCATTCGGACGTTCTGTTCTGCATGATGATTATGGATAATTTTATCTTCCGCTTGTCCTGCTGACCGCGATAGTCTCTGCCGCAGGCAAACCTGAGGTAAGGATATACAGTACAGTAGGCTACAACAACTCGGAGCGCTAGTCGATCTATAGCCTATAAAAGATAGCCTAAGCCATATGAACAATATAGGCTAAGTTAGGCTATTCTTGTTGGGTTTGACACGTAGTTTTAAGAAAAGGCGGTTGAATCTTCTACCGTTGACGACTCGAGTTCGGTAACGTTAGAAGATATAACACTCAGTGACAGCACGGCGCCATCTCCTAACAACAATTCGCTTTTTTGTTTTACACTCCATTTATTTTTACATGTCATGAAATGTTTACAGTTTTGAACATCTGATATTTTTTGAGCGGATATTGTGCTGTTTATGTTTTTTTAAATTACACAAAATAAGATCTTAAAGAGATAGTTCACACAAATTAATAATCTGTCATCATTTAGGCCACTTTACTTTCTTGGCTTTATTACTTTTGTTAAACGCTGAAGACGATATTTTGAAGAAATCCATCGAAGACCTGTTACCACTTAACCTAGCCTACTGTAGTATTTGTTTCCTGCCATGAAAGTCAATTGTTCATCATGTTTAAACAAGTTAAACAAAATAAGATCGATAGTTCACGCTAAAATAAGTATTGTGTCATTATTCACTCACCCCTTTACTTGTTTGGCTTTATTTCATCTGTTAAACACTGAAGAAGATATTTTTAAGAAAGCTGCAGACCTGTAACCATTGACTTTTAAATTAGTTTTTCCTGCTTTGGAAGTCAATAGTTTAGTTTTTCAGTTTTTGTTTTCACAATATCCTCTTTAGTGTTTGAAACCACATGTGGGGGAGCAAATTTTCATTATTTGTTTTAAACTCCATTTATTTTTCATTGTCAAGAAAGGTTTACAGTTTTACACATCTGATTTATATTTGTATAAATTTTATATTTTACCAAATTACACAAAATACGAACTTAAAGAGATAGTTCACACAAATTAATAATCTGTCATCATTTAGGCCACTCACCCCCCTTTACTTTCTTAGCTTTATTACTTCTGTTAAACGCTGAAGACGATATTTTGAAGAAATCCATCGTTACAGACCTGTTACCATTGACTTTATTTGTTTTCCTGCTATAAAAGTCAACTGTTACATCATGTTTGATCAAGTTAAACAAAATAAGATCTTAAAGGGATAGTTCACACAAAAATTAATATTCTGTGCCATCATTTAGGCTATCACCCTATTTACTTGTTTGGCTTCATTTAATCTGTTAAACATCAAAGACGATATTTTGAAGAAAGCTGCAGACCTGTAACCATTGACTTTTAAATTAGTTTTTTCCTGCTATGGAAGTCAACGGTTTAGTTTTTTAGTTTTTGTTTTCACAATGGCTGTTTCTCAATATGCGTTCTTCAGCGGTCTTGCGTCCTCGTGTTCTCGTGCAACGTCATCATCAGTTGCCTAAGTTCAGTTCCAATACTCAAGATCGCAAGTACAGAGGACGCGTGAAACTTCCCGGATGTGATCTTGATATCGAGGACGCACTTATGCAGACTTGAGCAGCGAACTCGCTCTGGAAGTCCCAGAAGTCATTGCGACTGGAGGTGGGAAGCGCAGCATTTTATTTAGATGTATTATTAAAGCTCAGAGATATCATTTATTTACCTCAGGAGTTTCCGTAAAGGAAACAGTGAAAGTAAACATTACCATGAACATCTTAATAAAGGAATAAACACATTAAGGGTGTTTGTTTGCTGAAATTTGTATTAAAATCTGTTTTATTTATATTGTGCAGAGTATATTTATAATGTTTTTATGCAAACGTATATATTTTTAAGAGGGGAAAAACAATAAATCGTTGTATGAATGCTTTAATGTTGGAATAATTTCCATTTAAAGCGCGTGAAGGTCATGTGACCATCAGGAAGATCGCAGCATCCCATTTCTCAAAGGACACGTTCTCTGCTCTGCCCTCGCGCTCTCCTGAGTTCGTTCTTCCGAGGACACCTGGCAAGACCGGTCTCCACAAGAAAGTCCGTTCTCTGCGTTCTTGGAATTGAGAAACAGCCACTATCCTCTTTAGTGTTTGAAACCACATGTGAGGAGCAACTTTTCATTATTTGTTTTAAACTCCATTTATTTTTCATTGTCAAGAAAGGTTTACAGTTTTACACATCTGAAAAGATTGTGCTGTTTACGTTTTACCAAATTACACAAAATAAGAACATAAAGAGATAGTTCACACAAAAATAAATAATCTGTCATCATTTAGGCTATCACCACCCCCCCCCCCCCCCCTTACTTTCTTGGCTTTATTACTTCTGTTAAACACTGAAGACGATATTTTAAAGAAATCCATCGTTAGAGACCTGTAACCATAGACTTAACGTACTGTAGTATTTGTTCTCCTGCTATGAAAGTCAACCGTTACATCATGTTTGATCAAATTAATTAAAATAAGACCTTAAAGGGATAGTTCACACGAAAAAAAAATTCTGCCATTATTCACTGACCCCCTTTACTTGTTGGCTTTATTTCTTCTGTTAAACACTGAAGAAGATATTTTGAAGAAAGCTGCAGACCTGTAACCATTGACTTACTGTAGTATTTGTTTTCCTGCTATGGGAGTCAGCACATCATGTTTGATCAAATTAAACAAAAGAAGACCTTAAAGGGATAGTTCACATAAAAATAAATATTCTGTCATCATTTACTTACACCCTCAACTTGTTTGCCTTTATTTCTTCTGTTAAACACTGAAGACGATAATTTGAAGAAAGCTGCAGATCTGTAACCATTGACTTACTGTAGTATTTGTTCTCCTGCTATGGAAATCAACTTTTACATCCTGTTTGATCAACTTAAACAAAATAAGATCTTAAAGGGATAGTTCACTCAAAAATGAATATTCTGTGCCATCATTTAGGCTGTCACGCTCTTTACTTCTTTGGCTTTATTTCATCTGTTAAACGCCGAAGATGATATTTTGAAGAAAGCTGCAGACCGGTAACCATTGACTTTGTAATTTTAAATTAGTTTTTCCTGCTATGGAAGTCAACAGTATAGTTTTTCAGTTTTTTTTTTTCACAATGTCCTCTTTAGTGTTTGAAACCACATGTGGGGGAGCAAATTTTCATTTTTGGGTAAACTATCACTTTAATTTATGTATTAAGTTGTTAATAAATTTGTAAACAAAATTACCACATTCTAAAAAAGGGTCATCGTAACCCAATGCTGGGTCAAATATGTAGAAAATTCCAATCATAAAATGTGTAATTTAAAGTAATAATAATTAAAAAATAATTCTGTCCATATTTGACCCAACTTTGAGTTACACTAACTTGGAAATGGACAGGTATAAGTTTCTGATGGTATGATAACCTTGGATTAAAATATCATGGTAACACAGTAAAATAAGTTATTTTTAAAGTTCTTAGTAAAAATATTATTTATATATATATATATATATATATATATATATACAGTTGAAGTCAGAATTATTAGCCCCCTGAATTATTTGCCACCCTGTTTAATTTCTTCCCCAATTTCTGTTTAATGGAGAGCAGATTTTTTCAACACATTTCTGAACATAATATTTTTAAAAACTCATTTCTAATAACTGATTTATTCTATCTTTGCCATGATGACAGTAAATAATATTTGACTAGATATTTTTCAAGACACTTTTATACAGTCGAAAGTGACATTTAAAGGCTTAACTAGGTTAATTAGGTTAGCTTGGCAGGTTAGAGTAATTAGGCAAGTTATTGTATAAAGATGGTTTGTTCTGTAGACTATCGAGAAAAAAAATAGCTTAAAGGGGCTAATAATTTTGTCTCTAAAATGGTTCTTAAAAATTTAAAAACTGCTTTTATTCTAGCTGAAATAAAACAAATAAAGCTCTTTCCAGAAGAAAAAAATATTATCAGACATACTGTGAAAATTTCCTTGCTCTGTTTATCCTCATTTAGGAAATATTCAAAAAAAGAATAAGAAATTTAAAGGGGGGCTAATAATTCTAATAATTCAACTGTATATGTATATATATATATATATATATATATATATATATATATATATATATATATATATATATATATATATATATATATATATATATGTGTGTGTGTGTGTGTGTGTGTATGTTTAAATGAGTATTAGGTGGACATCAGAAAAATAAGACCTGTGCAAAAATATTTAAGACCCTGAACAGTGAATTTAAGACTTTTTAAGGCCTAAAATTTAGATTTTTAAATTTAAGACTTTTTAAGACCCTGTAGTGCGAAACCCTGGGTAAAGAAATCTATTGGCTTTAGTTTTGCTGGCGGTTTCCCCGCTATCTTAAACTAGTTACTAGTTTAAAACAAGGTTCAAAATGAATTAACTCTATTTAAAACAGCTAAACTTCATTGAGACATTTGCCAAAAGGCCTAAAACTAATACGACAAATATTGCTTCCCCACACGGGGTGAATACCTCAGTCTCATCAGCACCTGAGCCAAGGGAACTCCAGGCCCAGCCCATGTCTCATGCATCAGACAATGATGAATGTATGTATAAATGTTTACACATCTTGTGCTCCAGATGGCCAGTCCTCCACTACACCTTGGTCTCAAATTCATTTCAAAGGAGCGCTACCCTGTACTATAATAGTGATGCATTCCTTCAAATAGACATCAATAGCGTAGGCGACATCTAATGTAAGTATCTATGTTTCAGTTTACTATAATACAGTACTTATTACAGATGACAGTTCACTATGGCTAATACTACATCCCCAAGTGATAGTAAAGTTTAACAGACCATGAAACTGAGGACATTTTTACAGTTTTTCCTATAATATTTTAATATTTAATATGTTTTATATTTTATAATAATATTTTTCTTAAGAAAGTCTTGTTTACTTTTTAATTTTGCTGGAATAAGAGCAATTTTTACATTTAATAAACATTTTAAGGCCAATATTACTAGATTTGTTTATGATTGTCTAACACTGTTATACAATGACTTGCCTAATTAACTTGCCTTGTTAGCCTAATTAACCTAGTTAAGCCAAAGAAGCAAAAGAACTCACAAAATATTGATGCATTCCTTCAAATAGACATCAATAGCGTAGGCGACATCTAATGTAAGTATCCAACATAATGTAGTTTTAGCCATAGTGAACTGTCATCTGTAGTAATTACTGTAGTATAGTAAACTGTGGTGTATATTAGTATAACATGCGCTATAGTTAGTATAGAAAAGTACAGTATTGAGTATTTGTTTCTATATTTCTATAGTTGTTATGTTACCCTAGCAACAACAGATTAATTCAAGTACCTTACTATAGTATAGCTCAAAAGTAGAAGGTATTTACTATTTAAAAAAATGATGCAGGCGGCGACAGAATTGTTTTAATATAGTTTCGTCTATAGACAAAGTAGATCTTATGAACTGTAAATCATTAACTTTCTGAATTTCAGCATGTTTCCTTATGGCCGAGCGGCTCGCTATGAATATTCTTTCGCATTTGATACACTGTTGAGATATGGGAAGTGGTCGGTGTAGACAACATCCTTTTTTGTCTTAAATTGTGAGGAAATGAAAGTGTTTGAAAACTCCCACGTTTGAAAAAACACATTTTAAAGCAGGCAGACAACAGAAAAGCTTCAGAGATGCGATGAAGTGTGTATGTGGAGGATTTTAAACATCTATGGTGCTCTTCCTCTCTCTCTGTAGACGTTGATTTGGGGTGTTTCTCACTGACCTGACTGGAAGCTTCCAACATACTGCTGCAGACAGGTAGTAGTAACAATTTATTTGCTTGATGGTTGACTTTATTTGCTGGCTTTTTTTATGACGTTATATATACAGTTGAGGTCAATATTATAAGCCCTCCTGTGAATATTTTGCTTAAAAATGTATCCAAAATCAAAGTTTGGTTACATGACATCTTAAGTCTTTTGAAATTGGAAAAGATTAAGTTTTTTCAGAGGCTCGTCTCACAAGTTTTATACTCATTGGAGGCCACTACTAAATTATTTTGATGATTTAACACCTCTGGAAGTGATTATTTAAGAAATCATTTTATGGTGGGAATTATTATATTTTTTTAGACTAGCACTGTCTAGAACTGTCTAGAACTGACTAGAACTGTCATGCCCTAAACTACACGCATTAGTCCAGCCTAAGCACAACTAAAACCATAATAACCAAGAAGTGGGTAGCACATTATTGTTAGTATAACTAGCTAATGTATGTATTTTATTTTATTTATTTATTTATTTGAAGTTATTTATATATTTATCTCAAAATGTACTATTATCATTATATTTGTTTTATTGTTCATTTCTTATTTTTATTTTTCTATTACTCCGTCTTCCATTATGTTTTACAAGAAAAGTGGCTATGTGTATGTATGGCTGGGATGGGTGGGGGGTTTTGGGGTTAAATGTTTACAAAAGTGTTCAAAAAGGAAAAAAGCAGAAATTGGACATATGTATACAACGATTGCTATCCACTTGTGTTCAATAAATAAAGTTTATAAAAAAATAAAAATGTTTCCCAAGTGATAGTAACGTTTAACAGACCAGGAAACCGAGGACATTTTTTTTTACAGTTTTTCCTATAATATTTTAATATTTAATATGTTTTATATTTTATAATAATATTTTTCTTTAGAAAGTCTTGTCTACTTTTAATTTGCACTTGTCTACTTTTAATTAACACTGCTATACAATAACTTGCCTAATTAACTTGCCTTGTTAGCCTAATTAACCTAGTTAAGCCTTTAAACTGCACTTTAAGTTGACTGGTACAGCATCTTGCAAAAGAACTAACAAAATATTATGTACTGTCATCATGGCAAAGACAAAAGTCATAAGAAATTATGAGTTATTAGAAATTAATATTAATTGATTAAAAATATAAATATACAGTTAAAGTCAAGATTGTTATCCCTCTTGGGATTTTTGTTTTCTTTTTTAAATATTTCCCAAATGATGTTAATGAGCAAGGCATTTTTCACAGTATTTCTATGCATTATACAGTACTATGATGTAAACCCAAGAAAAACCGTGAAAATCCTAATTAAATTCAATTCAGCTTTATTTGTATGGCGCTTTTACATGTAGATTGTGTTAAAGCAGCTTTACATAAATGGTCATAGTAAATTGGAACAGTGTAGTTCAGTTTTTAGTGTTTAAGTTCAGTTCAGTTTAGCTCAGTTCAGTCAGTGTGGTTTAAAATCACTACTGAAAGTCCAAACACTAAAGAGCAAATTCATTGATGCGTAGCTCTACCGATCCCAAACCATGCAAGCTAGAGTGTATATAAACAAGATGTAGAAACCTGTTTGGAAACCCGCTAAGTAATGCACTGAGTGTATGCTTTACCAAACAGATAGGTCTTTAATCTAGCTTTGAAATGGGAGAAGGTATCTGAGCCTCGGACGTTATCAGGAAGGCTATTCCAGAGTTTAGGAGCCATAAATGAGAAGGCTCGACCTCCTTTACTCGACTTTGGTATTCTAGGTACTACGAGAAGCCCTGAGTTTTGAGATCTTAGAGAGCGAGTTGGATTGTAGCGAGACAGAAGGTTGGTTAGATAAACAGGAGCTAGATTATTTAGAGCTTTAAATGTGAGAAGTAATATTTTAAATTTAATACGAAACTTAACAGACAGCCAGTGTGAGAAGGATAAAATTGGGGTGATATGATCATATTTTCTAGACCTGGTAAGAACTCTGGCAGCTGCATTTTGTACTAATCAAAGTTTGTTAATAGAGGATGCTGAGTGTTACAGTAATCCAGCCTAGAAGTCATAAAAGCATGGACTAGCTTTTCTGCATCTGAGATATACAGCATACGTCGTAATTTAAAGATATTTCTCAGATGAAAGAAAGCAGTTTTTGAGACATGGGATATATGGTTTTCAAAAGTTTAATTGCTGTCTAATATGACACCCAGATCTTTTATAGTAGCGCTAACACTAACTTTGTATCCTTTTAATTGTAGGTTGAGTTGCGAGATCTTTTGAGTACGGGATTTAGGCCCAATAAGTAATAATTCTGTTTTGTCTGAGTTTAAAAGAAGAAAATTGTTGGTCATTCAGTCTTTAACATCTTTAATACACTCAGTTAGCTTAGACAGTTCAGACATCTCATCAGGTTTAGTTGAAATGTATAAATGATCGTCATCTGCATAGCAGTGAAAGCTGATCCCATGTCTTCTAATAATGTCTCCCAGAGGTAGCATGTACATTGTAAACAGCAAAGGGCCTAAAACTGATCCTTGAGGCACCCCATACTTTACCGGGCTGACTTGTGAAGGCTGTTCATTAATATTCACAAACTGGTAACAGGGCTCGAAATTAACTTTCTTACTTGGTAGCACCGGTGCTCCCAACATGAAATATTTAGGAGCACCAGAAAAAATGTATAATATTGACAAGTTGTATATTAAAGGATTTATTGTATTTGAAAACAACATCAATTGGGACTAACAAAATACAGAAACAACTATCTAACTAATGCTGTGATGATTTAATATTTGTGAAATAATTCTAAAATGAATGTTGAATAATTATAAAATATTAATGATGACAATGATGACAATAATACTAATAATGAAATATATTTTTCATCATCATGCTGCCTTGAATGTGCTTTAATGTAAGTTATCTGCTATATAAAGTCCTACTGTTACTTTATGAAAAAATTAATTTATAGTTTGCATCAAACACAAATGAAGCATTGTAGTAAGAAATATTTGTTTTGTACTATTATGTTTATATGCATGTCAATTTAAAAAAATAATAGCCTATTTAGCAATATAATATAATAAATCTATTAAATTCAATGCTGAAAGCTGCAAAGCAGTCCTCAGTAATTAAATGGAAAAATAATATACACCTCAAGAAAGAACGGACAAAAGAAAGTAAGAAAAGTCTCACTTTTAAAAGTTTTGGTTTCGGTTTGTGTCGTTTTAATGCTCAGCTTCGTTACGCGCTGAATTACATTTTTCTGTGTTTGTGGAAAAGCATGCGAGTCAGCCGACCCAATATATGAGGGGGGCAGAGCAGGATTCTCCCAATGACCACTGGCGCTATACTGTTCTTTGTTATAACCCGCATCAGTTTAAACGCAGTAAAGGCAAGCTTCATTGGCGATGGTGTTTTAGCGGACATTTGCGTATGAAAAAGTTACGAATTGCCGTGAGATTGTGTTGGCAGCACACGCAGTGCATGCAACGCATCGAGATTCAGTGTACTTTTCACTCTTCAGCAGTTTGCATTCCCCGCGGTCACAGAAGCTCCCTCCCTATCATCTGACAGCGGAAAGTCTTGAGTGATTGACAGCTAATATGAACCAATATAGCGGCAGGGAAGAGCGCTTTTACCATGTTTAAAAAAAACTGGTCGCACTCCAACCTAAATATTCATTCGCACGAATGCTCCCAATAGATATTATGAGGTCGCAAAGCTCAAATTTCAGGCGCATATGCGACCAAAATGGTCGCTATTTCGAGCCCTGTGGTAACGATCAGTTAAGTACTTAAGGACTTACACCATTGTAGAGCATGTCCCTGGACACCTGTTGACATAAATCACCTGTAGCAATTTATAAGGATATTGTGGTCAATGGTGTCAAATGCTGCACTGAGATCGAGTAAAACTAATAGCGAGTAGCTGATTCCAGTACATCAGCAGTTTCTAAAATACTCAGACCAGCTCGTCTGGCACCAACAACCATGCCATGCTTAAAGTCACTTAAATCCCCTTTCATCCTCATTTGATGCTCGGTTTAAACTGTTGCAGATCGTCTTGACCATGTTTACATGCATTAATGCATTGAGTTGCTGCCTTGTGATTGACTGATTTGCTTTAGCAGTGGGACAGGTGTACCTAATAAAATGGCCAGTGAGTGTGTGTATATTATGAAAATGTTAAAGCAACTTGATGCTCAGATGATTATACAATGTGCATGTTTTTCAGACTTCTGATTGGGTTGTTCAGAAATGGGCTTTGCGGAGGACCTATGGTGTCCTCAGGGTCACGCAGCCCTCATGAAGCTACAAGACTCTGAGCTGCGTCTGATGGAGGTCATGAAGAAGTGGATGATGCAGAGAGCCAAGAGCGACCGCGAGTTCTCCATGCAGCTGCACCAGATGTCAGCCATGGTGGAGAAGATGGAGGGAACTCAGCCTGGAGGAGGACTCAACTACATCAGCCAGTTCAACAAGGTGGGAGCGTTTCTCTTTACGCAAGTGTAGTTTTTTACTGCCACGTTCCCATCATTCATTTTATGTTTGACTTTTATGAAATTAAAACTAACCATTTGATTTTGTTAGCTTGTTACCAGTTTTGTGGTGAACCATTCATCTGTGTTCATTCATCAAGTCATTAAGAAAAAAAACTATAGTTTGCCCCTGTAATCTAACATTAAAATCTGAAAATGCACTTCCTGTTTGTTTTCAGTTGAATTCTCAGATGATGCCCAGATTGGGTTTTGGGTGTGGCTAACATGCTTAACCACGCCTCTCCAACTGTCAGTTTTCAAAACAAACAGAAAAGGTGAGGAGGAGGAGTCTGTTAGGTTGTAATAACTCTCACGAAACTCTTTTCCCGATCTTTCTGAATAAATTGCCTACCTTTCAACATCCAATCAGCTTGCAGTGAAAAAAAATAAGCCACACCCACTGTTTTCGCATTTAATATTCTGTTTCTCAAGGAACTACATCATTATACGTACAAAAACGGTCGCAGCTCCAGGTTTATGTGGAGTTTACTGCCATTGTTCATTTATACACTGCTCTACTTTTTTTTACAGTACAACAAAATAAGAAATTGGCAAAAATATCCATATAATGACAGTTTTTAGTGATCCACATGTAGTAAGATGCAAATAAAAGTATTTTTATTAAAAAATATTTTATAAAATGTAATTAAAATTATATTTTAAATTGATTTAAAGTTATTGTGAACTGAAAACTCAGTATGTTGATGTGCTTCAAACTGAAATGGAATACTGAGTATATGGCAGGGCTTTATTTTTGCACATCATTCCCTCATAGCAAACTAACGGCAAGAAGCATGTGGTTACTGTCAACATGAATAAGAAGCCGCGACTGTTTATTTCCGTATTGTGATTCAATTCCTAGAGAAACTGAATTAAAATGAGAAAACAGTGGGCGTGGCTTGTTTTTTCTACTGCAAGCTGATTGGATGTAGTAAAGTAGGCATTTCAAAAGATCAGGAAAAGGGTTTGGGGAGAGTTCCTACAACCTAACAGACTCCTCCTCCTCATCATTTCTGTTTGATATCAAAGCTGACAGTTGGAGGGGTGTGATTAAATATGTTAGCCACGCCCAACACCTCAGACAGATGTAATCTGAGAATTTTACTGAAAACAAACAGGAAGTGCGATTTCAGATTCTTCAATTAAAGTTTACAAGCGCAAACTATTTATTTTCCTAATGGCATGCACAGATGAATTGTTCCCAACAAAACTGGCAATGTGAACTTACAAAGTCACACGGTAAATTTTGATTTAATGGGGACTTTAAGAATATTGTAGCTGTTAAACTGACGTTAACGGAGAAGGACCGCCACTATAAACTTGAAAGCAAATATTCAGACTTTGATCGAAGATTACCAAAACAAACATTATTTTGTATAGATCAGGGGTTTTCAAAGTGTGAGGCGCGCCTCCCCTGGGGGGCGCCAGAGCATGTCAGGGGAGGCGCGGGAAAAAAATATAATATAATAAAAATATAATTATTAAGTTTAATTATTATTTGTATTTTTTATTATATTTAAACGTTTTAATTAAACAAAGCAAAAAAAAAAAAAAAATACGTCAAATATAAGAAAACCCAGAAGGCCATAGCAGTGAATTCGCTTCTGTTTGGCAAGCCCGCCAATACAGGTATATGCCTGCTAATACAATGGGTCGGTTTCTGAGACCCCCCCCGATTCAAAGCTGTAATGAAGTTCACGGCCCTTTGGCCGCCGGGAAGAAGGAGGCGGAGAACCGAAGCAGTTTTAAAGTGATTTATTAATGACAGTGACGGCAGCTCCGTCTAAACCAAAACAAACGGACGGCAGCTCCTCACGGAGACTGCCGTCAAACTGAAAGCAAAAGTAAAATATGTCCGGGTCCGGTCCTCTCTCGGCTTCCTCTGCCCTCATTCCTCCTTTTATGATCCAGAGCTCCTTCCGTGGGATCTGAGGCATGTGCGCACCGCAGGTGTATCCACTTACGCGGTGGCCTCACTCCGTTCCCACGGCGCTCGGCCACGCCCCCTCGCCACAAAAGAAAATAGATTATCCATATGTTAAATACAGGGTTTCCGCTGGGTTTTAAAATGTCTTAAATTTTAAAAACTAAATTTTAGGCCTTAAAGTCCTAAATTCACTAAAATATTGATGTTTAGGTCCTAAATCCTTATAAACAAGTTTTAATTTTCATCTGTCCATGTCTCCAATCACCAACAGTCCATCTCAAAAACCCTTCAACCAAACTCTAAATACTAATATGCTACGTTTAAAAAGGAGCATGTATAAAACTATTTTTAACTTTGTTTGTATTGATACATTATTTAAAATACGTGGTAAAGACATACCTAATTAGATTTAGTTTTTTGGATGAGGCTAGTAAACCTCTTTTCCACATGACCAACTGAAAAAAAAAAATTCTTAGGGCCCTATTATACACTTGGCGCGACGCAATTGTTATTTGCTATTTTCAGCTCTGCGCAAGAGTCGTTTTGAGGTGTTGCGCCACGCTGTTTAAATAGCAAATGCATTTGCGCTCATATGTGCGCCCATAGGCGTTCTGGTCTAAAAAAGCAGGCGTGTTTTGGCGCGTTGCTGGTGCGTTGCTATTTTGAGAAACTATAATAGTCTGTTCTTTAGACCAGAATAAAGCCGGTCTATTGTCTGGCGCAGAGTGCGCCTGGCTTACACACTGCCTAATACACACAAGATGTAGAGCAAAACGCAAATGTCTTTACAAATGAAAAATATATAAAATATTAAGGATATGTATAGGATATAATAAGAATATATATAGTATATAAATATAAAGGATTAAAATATTACAAAACATTATTTTCTACCCTGCATGAATTTAAAAACCACTGCCTTCATACTTTCTTCATCTCGGTAGGCTTTTTCAGTTCATTCAATTTGCTTTCGTATAATGTTATTATTATTAGCAGTATTATTTATTATATCCATATTTATATTTGTTTTATTAGAAACAAGCTTAAATTTGTCCACCTGTCAGGTTTTAGACCATATAGGGCACAGCATGATTATTAGGGTGTAACTCAGTTTTTTGACCACACTCTGTTATTATTGTTCATTTATTTGTTTGCTGGAGATTAGAACTGAATTTAGAAACAGTTCTGAAACTAATCTTAGCGCTTGACAAACAAAATTAATTATTTATAGACTAATTGATGTCTGTGCGTACAAGGTTTCCCTATCCACGAGCGTGAAAGTGAAACTAGATTATGAGATGCCTTATCTCTCATTCTCGCGCGGTAGATGCTCTGTTTAACTGTTTTCTTGCTAGTGAAATGCTTAGTTTTTCCACCTACACTTACTTTACGTCATGTAAATAGCAAATGCGCTTATGGCGCGACGCAGCTGGCTCTTTAAGGGAAGGGGAGATGAGACTCTGATTAGTTTATTTTCAAAAAAACACCTATAACTCATTGAGAAAATAAACTCAACCCTTTTAGACCATGCGCCACGGTGCAAAGCGGATTTTCCCATCCTTATATTAGCACAAATGGATTCTGACACGCCCTGTAAGCATTTGCGCCCTGCGCTCTGCGCTTTGGGCATGGATCGTCAAATTAGAGCCCTTAGTGTTTAGCCATGTATAAGTCTGAAATTTTACTTATAACGGTTTTAAAAAGGCATTGGCTGTTTCTCAATATGTCTTGCGTCCTCGTGTTCTCGTGCAACGTCATCATCAGTTGCCTAAGTTCAGTTCCAATACTCAAGATCGCAAGTACAGAGGACGCGTGAAACTTCCCGGATGTGATCTTGATATCGAGGACGCACTGATGCAGACTTGAGCACCGAACTCGCTCTGGAAGTCCCAGAAGTCATTGCGACTGGAGGTGGGAAGCGCTGCATTTTATTTAGATGTATTATTAAAGCTCAGAGATATCATTTATTTACCTCAGGAGTTTCCGTAAAGGAAACAGTGAAAGTAAACATTACCATGAACATCTTAATAAAGGAATAAACACATTAAGGGTGTTTGTTTGCTGAAATTTGTATTAAAATCTGTTTTATTTATATTGTGCAGAGTATATTTATAATGTTTTTATGCAAACGTATATATTTTTAAGAGGGGAAAAACAATAAATCGTTGTATGAATGCTTTAATGTTTAAATAATTTCCATTTAAAGCGCCTGAAGGTCACATGACCATCAGGAAGAACGCAGCATCCCATTTCTCAAAGGACGCGTTCTCTGCCCTCGCAGTCTCCTGAGTTCGTTCTTCCGAGGACACCTGGCAAGACCGGTCTCCACAAGAACACAAGTCCGTTCTCTGCATTCTTGGAATTGAGAAACAGCCATAAATTTGGAGAGGGTGCTCGCTGCAGAGCCATTTGAGCAGAGCTGAGCTCCAGCGAGGGGGAGCATGAGCTCTCGTTCTGCCTCCTGTAAGCTGTTTTAATGCGTACACCAACCCCACCCCTAACCCTACCCCCAGTGACATCACTCGTAGAAGAAGTGCAAAAAAGGTGGAGCTCAAGCTCAAGTTACCCCTCGCTGGAGCTCAGCTCGCCCAAATGGCTCTGCAGCAAACACCACTTGTAAATTTGACTTTGTTAAACCTGCAGAAACCCTGTAAACAATCCATATTCAGTTAAAATTATTTAATGTAGAAAAAAAAAACTCGCTATTATTGTACTATATATGCAGTACACAAAGTGTATTTACTAACATCAGATTTGGGATTGAAGTTGAAATATTCTGGCCAAAATAAAATCTTGTCAGTCCATCCCAAGTGTTTAACAAAGTTCCTGACAGTGATGTTAGTTTTTGTGAACTTACATGAAACTAAAAGTACAGCAGTTCACATTGAGTCATCCAGAGGAAGCACACAAGTTCAGAAAACATGGTGAACAGATGTGCGACATATAGAACAGGATTCAAATGATTACAGTTAATTATAAACATAATCCTGTGTCCTATTTTATTTTTTTTCATGGTATTGATATTCTGCATTTTGATTGGCTGGAGGGTAAGCAAAAAATACTTTAATGCACACAGCTAGTTCTAGTCAGTTTTGATAACATTTTGTAAATAAATGTGCTACTATTCAACTTTAGTAGTAACCATAATAACTAATATTTGCCTGAGAGTTAAATCTCAACTGATGTGTGCCTCACCAGGAAAGCAGATGGAGATCAATCCTACTCGCAAATTTGCTTTAAACTAGGGGCTCTATTTTATGGTCTAGACCAGTGGTCACCAAACTTGTTCCTGGAGGGCCGGTGTCCTGCAGATTTTAGCTCCAGCCCTAATCAAACACACCTGAACAAGATAATCAAGGTCTTACTTGGTATACTTAAAACACCCAGGCAGGTGTGTTGAAGCAAGTTGGAGCTAAACCCTGCAGGGACACCGGCCCTCCAGGACTGAGATTGGTGACCCCTGGTCTAGACGCAGAGTCTGAAGCGCATGGCATGAAGGGTGTGTCCGAATCACTTTTGTTATTTTGAGGACGGAAAAATACACTCTGCACCCAGGCGTATGGTTTTACAGGAGTCCTAATTTCAATATTATACTATTAAATAAAAATAGTCTAAAGATGACTCAGACCACATTGTCTTTCTCTGGCGTTATAGTTTGTGGTGTGGAGTCTGCTATGAACGAGTTTTAGCGAGACATCTTATATATATCTTTCTTGGTATGAAAAGGAGTTCATAGTAAAAATAGTCTCAAAGTTCTGCAGAATTTTTATTGTGTGGATGGTGTTAAGATATTTAGATATTATGATGCCATTTAAAGAGTTGAAATAGAATAGCTAAAATAGTAAGTGCACTGTTGAAACATGCAGGCAATTCAAAACCTTCTGCCAAAAGCCTTCAGGCCTTTTCTTATATTCTAGATAGTGTTCTTTGAAGTCCATGTAAAACCAAAATTCTCAATGTTTAGTTTGCTAGCGCACATTGTTATTTTTTAATCCGTACAAGTTAATCCACCGAAAAAAAAAGGAAATAGAAAGTTTGTTTAGGTATCTTCAATCAAATCCAACACATTTGCTTCTGTATTTAGAGTAGATGTCTTTCTCTATTGATGTCAGTTTGATGGCTTTAGCTAAAATATTATTAACCACACCCCTCTAACCGTTAGTTTGCTATGAGAGAATGACACAAAAATAAAGCCCCACCCCTTACTTAATATTCCATTTCAGTTGGGAGCACATCAACATACTAAGTCTCAGCAACTTCTGATTCATGGGCTTTAATCAAAATAACTTCCCCTCTATGTTTTCTCTGACATATTTACTATAGCATGGGGGCAGTATGAACCTGTCAATCACATGAGATCAACCAATAGCAAACCACTATCATCCAATCAATCTCCTATACACAAAATCCACTCCTGATCTACATTTGACTATGATAAACATCACAAAAGGGGAGAGAGATTTAGGGCTTGGTGATATTGAAAAAAAAATAGTCACGATATCATGTTTCAAATCATTCGGTATTGATAATTATTGAATATTTTTAACAATACATTTAGAAATATTAGGATTTGATTGAATTAAATTGAATTAAATTGAATTTAATTTAATTTAATTTAATTTAATTTAATTTAATTTAATTTAATTTAATTTAATTTAATTTAATTTACAAACATTACGAAAACTGGGTGGGTGGGGCAGCGGGACAACGAATGCTGAACATAAGCGGGAGCGGATGGGTTTGAACTACAACCTGCGGGAGTGGGCGGAAGCAGAATTCAAAATTTAGTCCCGTGTTGATCTCTACTATACGGCACTCATTTTCACATGTGTTGTTATTCTGATCTAAAGTGACAAGCATGATCGTGTGGTTTCCTTCACTATTTTCAATGCGGTTTGCGCTCATGCTCCCCTGGCATTTCTCGGAAATAAGCGACCATCTACCGTTTTCTCAGAGGATGAAAACGGACAAATCATTGCTGCAGCTTCAATGCAAGTTTATAGAGAAAAGTAAAAAGCGCTGCAGTGTTTGGGTGTGCTGTGTTTGTCTGAGGTAATAAGTCTGCTGTTATTACTGAAATGTGTATATTCCATACAAAGTCTGAAACAGATTGGTTAGCCCAGAAAAAAACTGTAGCTTTCATTTTATTTCAATATTTAGAATGCTAGTCTATTTTTTAAAAATAATTTTTAATAAAAATGTTTTTTAATAAATTTCTTGATTGCTGGTGTCATGAGAAGAGGTAAATGCACTAAAATTAAAATGGAATCACGCAATTATATTTTCAAACTCTAAATCCTAAATGTTGATTAATTTTCTAACTTTCACAGTCGTGGAACGTGCTGGTCAGTCAGACGGAGAGCCTCAGTCGTATTATGCGCAAACATTCAGACGATCTGATGGTGGGACCCCTCAGTAAACTCACCCTCCTCATCCGGGACAAACAGCAGCTGAGGAAGACTTACGGGGAACAGTGGACGCTTCTCAACCAGGACATGTGCAGGGTCAGCGCCATATCACTTTTACACACAGCTGCACATTCAAGTTACACTCTTTATATATATATATATATATATGGTTCCTTTAATTGTTTGGAATCTTTGCATTGCGTAAACGGTTCTCTAGCCACTCCTTTTTTGCATTTAGAAGAGAGCGCAGTCATTGAAAATTAAAATTAGTGTGAAATTAAAAGTTGCAATGTTCACTTTGCTAGTACATGTTGTTATTCTTTAGATCAGGGGTGTCCAAACTCGGTCCTGGTGGGCCCGTGTCCTGCATATTTTAGTTCCAACTCCAATTAAACATACCTGAAGCAGCTAATCCAGCTCTTCCTAGGTTCTTGAAACTTCCAGGCAGCTGTGTTGAAGGAAGTTGGAGCTAAACTGTGGGGCCCTCCCGGACCGACTTTGGGCACCCCTGCTTTAGATGAACAATTCATTTGTGTTTTTTGTTTTACAAGCATTTTACATTTATAAGCATTTCAGAGCTAATCCGGCTGCTAAATCAGTGAAACATTAGAGTATTATCATTTTTTGTTAGCATTTTAGCGTTTATTCAAGCTATTAATTCACTGAAACGTTAAGAGTATTACTATTTATTTATTAGCATTTTAGCACTAAATATAGCTACTAAATCTGTGAAACTTTAGGGTATTAGCATTTATTAGCGTTTTAGCATTAAATCTGCCTGCTAAGTCAGAGAAACATTAGTGTATTAGCATTTATTTATTAGCGTATTAGCATTAAATCTAGCTACTAAATCAGTGAAGTGCTAAAGTATTACCATTTACTTAGTAGCATTATAGTGTTAAATCTAGCCACTTAATCAGTAAAATGTTAAAGAATTACCATTTTTTATTAGCATTTTAGGATTAATTCTAGCTACTAAATAAGTGAAACATTAAAGCCTTAGCTGTTATTTAGTAGCAATTTTGCAATAAGCCTTGCTACTACATCAGTGAAATGTTAGAGTATTAGCATTTATTTATTAGTGTTTTAGCGTTAATTCTAGTTACTCAATAAGTGAAGCATTAGAGCTTTAGCTGTTATTTAGTAGCATTTTAGCAGTAAGCCTTGCTACTACATTAGTGAAATGTTAGAGTATTAGCATTTTTTAAATTGCATTTTAGTGTTAAAGGGCACCTTTAAAAGAGTCTTTTGTGTCTCCAGAATTTGTCTGTAAAGTTTCAGCTCAGAACTCTCATCAGATTTTTTATTATACCTTTTATAAGCATCTAATTTATACATTGTAGCATCAGGTAGCAGTTTTGTTGTACTGCGTCTTTAAGGCTAGTCCTCCCCGCCCACCGTTTCTAAGTGCCTTTCAACGTGCCTTAATCTTCTCCCTCGGCGGCCTCAGACAACAAAAAGAAGACCTCACGTAGCGTTTGTGAGAAATACAACAGTAAGAACTTAACCACTGAGTATTTGATGCATTTGTTGTGTTGAGTTGCAACGATGAGTTACACACAATGTCGTTACAAAGTTCATGCACACACACACACAAAGACAGCGCGCGTTTAGCTATACACTCTTTTTCCACGCATATGTGGACAGGATACAGGTTAATCTCCACTGCTGTATGGATATCTGTTATGTTTATGTACAAACCAAACCTAATTGAATTGAATTAAATTGAATTGAATTAATTTAATGTCCACAAACCGGGATTGAAGCATCTACTTTTATAATTGTTCTGACATGCGGCTATGGTGATGAAGTAAAGCTGAAGTAAATCGCTGTAAAACATTTTTAAAACACTTTAAACATGTGAAACTCACTCTTGATCACATTTGATGATGAATGATGATCCTTGAAAACTGAACAGACCTTTTATTCCCAGTTGCTTTGCGCACATCCTGTCTTGTTGATATGATTATATGTGTGACTACCACGACATGTTAATATGCAGCTGTCAATCAATTCGGTGGGCAGGGGGAACGCACTCTTACGTCAAGTTGCGGTCAGTCTGAAAACCACTCCAACTGGTCCACCGTTTTTATGTTGTTAAATTGAAAAAAAAGGACTGGGTGTGTTTATTTCACCCCACTATGATGCTCTATACACTATACCTACACATATGTCTGTCCAAACAGCTTGAAAAGTAGATTTTTCACCATAGGTGCCCTTTAAATCTAGCTACTAAATTAGTGAAACATTAGAGTATTAGCATTTATTTATTAGCGTTTTAGCATTAAACCTATAGCTACAGTACCTTAATCAGCGAAATGTTAAAAGTATTAGCGTTCATTTAGTAGCATTTTAGCAATAAATCTAGCTATTAAATCAGTGAAATGTTAGGGCATTAGCATTTATTTATTAGCATTTTAGCAATAAGTCTAGCTATTAATTCAGTGTAATCCTAAAATGTCAATTGCATGCACTTAAAAAAACATTTGACCAATTTGAGCTTTTATTTCTTCCTATACTGTAAGAAATTAGTTTTCAATATATATATATACATTTATTTTAAAATACAATAATTTATAATTCAAGCAAATATTTATTCTATAAATACAAATTTGCCAAATAAATAAAAACATTGTAAATAGTTTTTAATATATATGCTTAAATGTACACAAAATACATTAACTTTTAACACTGGAAGAAAATCTTCATTTTAATATTTCAAACATTAAAAACAAAGAACATTTTAAAATCTTCATTTTTGGCACTTTTTTTTTGGAACAGTGAATATGCCGACATAATATTGCACTTTACAAAGTTTCCAGAATTTGACATTAGCATTGTTATACAGAGTGGCTCTTTCAGAATTTTGCTCATTTGTGTATTAATCCAGTTCATACTTTGGACACTGTATGCTACATGTAAATGACCTTAGACAAGTTTTTACTGTTAGGCTATCTGAACAAACTTAATCCATAATTGGGAACCAGAATATCATAACCACTACCAGACGTTGTTGTAAGGAACCACTGTTGTTTAAATGCTTGACATAGAAGGAAATGTTAAAAATCATAAAGTGATTGTGAAGCTGCAGCCGAATCATCATTGTCTGTTTATATTTAGACCATGTCTGTAAGCTGTTGAATGGTTTAATACTGCAAATGTTTGCAGAAACGCAGTGTAAAGTGGAAAAAAGGCAGATGATTGTTTCTTTAGGATCAGCAACACCTTATCAGATTGTGTTGTAACATTACACGTGAAAAGAACACCTACTGTGACTGCTTTAGGTCTCAGAATTGGTAAATATGAGAAATAAGTGTTAACCCAATGTGAAGATGCGTGCAGCTTGAGTAACAACTTCATTAACTTCAGTAATTGTTTACAGCATAGTTTATCTGCCTGATTGATCTTCTATGGAGTAATGCATGATTTTGCACCAAAATCATGCATTTCTGCAGTTTTATTGAATGTACAACAGCATTACAGTATATATAGGGAGCAGTGGTGAAAAGAGTACTGAAAAATCATACTTAAGTAAAAGTACCATTGCTTGCCTAAAAATGTAGTGCAAGTAGAGTAAAAGTATCCGTTGTAAATATTACTTAAAGTATCAGTAAAATCTAGCCCTTTAAAGAGTAGTGCGTATTACGTCGTAAAAAGCTGAGGCATTTACATATAATTTGTGAATGTTTGTAAACGTAATATTCTGTAGTGCATTGTCCAGCAAGCACAAAACGTCATGAGACGATAATATTAGTTTAGATTTAGGTTGTGATCTCAAGTGACCAAAATCCAATGTCTAGTCAGCGTCTAAGGACAACATTATTTTGATGTCCAATAACAACTTCAAATGATGCTGATATTTGGTTGATTTTAGGTTGTGTTGGAAAGTAACCAAAATCAACGTCAACCAACGTCATATTGACGTCAAATACTGACATTTATTCAGGCATGGCAACCAAAACTCAACATCTGATAGACGTCATAGTGGTAACGTCCACACAACGTCAAGCTGTTACATCATTAGATGTTGATATTTGGCGATATATTGACGTCAACCCGATTTTCATTTTCCAAGCAAAATGCAATGTCCCCATGACCTTGCTGTACAACGTCAATCTACTGTCGCGTTGATATCTTGTGCCTGCTGGGTGTTTAAGGCCATTTCGGTCTTCATACAGTAAACATTCGTCATCTTCAAATCAGTGGCATGCATAAAGTCTCTGGGTCATTGCGTGTGAAAATTCTGGACATCTTCTTGGACACTTTCAATGCATCAAAACAATTATGCTGCAATTATAAATCGCCCATGTCTTTAGGTCGTTCATTATGATGCGATATACCTTCTATGTGCGATTGGATTGGACAGAAATCACAGCACTGATTTTTCTAATCCTCATAGACAAGAAAAAATAAAGCAGGTTGCAGGTTGAAGGAAAGTTGTGGAGTAAAAGTACCAATACAGCACTAAAAAAGTACTCAATACATATTTGAAAATATACATATTTATTTATTATGAAAATATATCTGAAAACATTACTTCCCATATTGGAATGAATATACCTGTGATTAAGATGATAAAATCTCATTGTGGTCCAATCATTCATTCATTTCATTCATTTTCTTGTCGGCTTAGTCCCTTTACCAATCCGGGGTCGCCACAGCGGAATGAACCGCCAACCCATCCAGCAAGTTTTTTTACACAGCGGATGCCCTTCCAGCCGCAACCCATCTGGGAAACATTCACACACACACTCATACACTACGGACAATTTAGCTTACCCAATTCACCTGTACCACATGTCTTTGGACTGTGGGGGGGAAACCGGAGCACCCGGAGGAAACCCACGCGAAGGCAGGGAGAACATGCAAACTCCACACAAAAACGCCAACTGAGCCAAGGTTCGAACCAGCGACCTTCTTGCTGTGAGGCGAACGTGCTACCCACTGCACCACTGCCTCGCCCATTGTGGTCCAATGTTTTTAAACAGCAGCCATGTTTAGTTAGCCATGTTTTAGCTATAGCACTAAAATGCTTGTTAAAATGCTTTAAGAGCAAAAATGTTGGAGTCCTAAATTATCTTTAAAATCTTTTTCCTACTGTAAATCAGCATTTAGCTACTTTCTTTTTAAAGATGTTTTATAAATATGAGCCCAGGCCAGCAGCTAAATTACAAAAATGTAGCCACTTCTCATCCTTTCATGTTCACAATATAAAAAAGCGCTTCCTTTATCTTCATTTGTGAGTCAAATATCATAATAATATCTGCAAAATGTAAATGTAAAATGCCTGAATTAACACATGCGACTCATTTTGCTGCAGGGATCTGAATTTTGATTTGTGTGTTTTTTTGTGTGCTGTTGTGGAAGGTTAGGTCACCCAAACCGAGCTGGACAGGCTCAAATCCAGTTACAGACAGCTGGTACGGGACGCGACCTATGCCAAAAAAAAATACCAGGAAGCAAGCAAAGGTAAGAAGTCGTCTCCGCTTTTGCCCAGTTCTCTAAAAAAGCATGAGCTTTCTTTCATTTTGAATAGCGCACTTTGTGCTGAAAAAGAAGCACACAATAAACACCAAGAGAGAGACTGTTTAATGTTTAAACACTGGGCGGTTTTCGGATGTTGTCTGTAAGCAAGGTGTCCGTCTGTTTGGGTTCAAGTAGAAAAACCTGTTTTTAGACCAAGGCATGAGAAGTGACACAAAGATGTCACAAAGTTTCAAATTGCAGAGGAAACGAGACAAACTAAATGGGGTTTCTCCAGTGACCAAAGTGTCAATGTTTAGCACTGCACTGTTTGCAGCATTTAGGTGGGCCGCAGTGAATGCAGCAGCAAATACATATACCAGCGACTGATATGAGAAGTAACTATAGATATGTATTTGCATCATGCAGTGCATAGCTACTACTGGAGTACATGTTTTTTTAAATATACTGCAATGGTTTTTTGTAGCGTTTAAAGCAATGCAAGATATGTGGACAGTTCTGTGGTTTTGCTGGCTGAGCACATTTAAATGAGCAAATCTACTGTTGTAATTATAAACACACTCAGCAGATCAGAAATTCAGGGTCAGTGAGATTTATTGTTTGCAGTCAAAAATACTGTATGGTGTATTTATATAAACAGAAATATTGTGAAATATTTCAATTTAAAATTGACGGTCTAATGTTTGAATATAGTTTAGCATTTTATTTCTTTCAGTGTACACTGGAACATTTTTGATCAATTTAAATCTGATCCAAAAATTTTGGATTTTAGGAAAGCAACATTATATTATTATCTCGGTTCTGTCTGGTTCTCAAATTAGGCACTAGTACAGCCTCTTCACCCTTGTGTATTACTCCGCTCACATGGAGTGACAGCATATCTATATACTTATGACAGCATATACATATACTTTTGAGGCTTTTATGCGAGAATGTAGATGTTTAGATTGCAACTATGCAGTTTATTTATAAGGGCAGTGCCTGATTTAACTATTCATACTTTTGGAGATTCAGTGCGTTCAGTCATACTGAGCAGAGCAAAGATGGTTGACGTTCCGCCACAAGATGGCAACAGAAACCACACAATAAGTCTTTAGCAGAGCATTTTCAACAGTATTTTCTACACGTACCTTTCAAGCTAGGGCTGATCAAATAATTATAAAACAAGTAATTGACATTCTAAGTCAATCTCTCTCTTGTTAACATTTTGTAATGCTGTATTTATACCATAGTAATCTGCTAGTGTTTGCTTTGCTTCGTTTTTTTCTGGGTTTATTATTGTGATGTCCCGACTGCAACAGAGAAATACTGGGAAATCTCTGTAGACTGATGGCATTTCATGCCATTCAGCCTTATAATCTTAAAATGTGAGCAAAATCAGCTGTTTTGTCATCACTTTAGACATTACGCTAGAGAATCATTCAAACACTAGCTCTAAAGTGACATTTGTGAAGTAGCAACGGTTCCTGCTGTTCTGATGATCAGCTGCAGATGTGAGTGAACGGCAGAAGAAAGTAGTTCCTCTTTAAAAAAGAGTTTTTGAGGCTCTGTGTTTGATTTTCTTTTTTATATACACGATTATGACTTCAAACTGTTGTATAAACACAATATCACACTTGTAGTAGTGCAATATGGAAGTATGTATATGATCCCTGGTGGGACACTAAAACACTCTGCCTGCGGCCTTGAGCCAACCCACACCTCCCATCAGTGCAGACATACAGTCATATCACACATCTACACTTCTGTAATATTGCTTATATATATTAATAGTTACATTGCATATCTTGATCTTAAAATCTTGAAGATGGTACCGTATATAACATAAAATAAATGTAATGTTTTTATTTTAAGTAGGATTAGTGTACAGCTTTATATATTTTTTGTTTATATGAATGAAAATATACAACAATACAAAAAAATTAATTGATCGCTTGAAGATCACTCTGGGTCTGTGATTTATAGTTTTGCATTGGAGTGAAACAGAATGTTGTGTTTTTAGACATGTTTGTATTCATTTTTTTTTTTTAAATGTTTTAACATTTTAACATTTTTGGTGAAATAATCCTGAATTTCAATCACAACAAATGAATTTGTTAAATTTATTTAAAAAACAAAGAAACAAATAAATGTAAGCAAACCTTTATGAAACAAAACAAACATTAACACTTTACTCACTAAATCCTGAAAAACTTTTTCCCTTTTCCATACAGTAGCTGTAAATGTATAGGATTGCTAAACAGTGAATTACAGTATAAACACTTTCTACCTTATATCAATATTCATGTACAAAAACAAAAACAAAAAAACAAGATATTATTGTGATTTTTATAATAAAATAGGCAGGTCAGGGTAATTAGGCAAGTCATTGTATAATGATGGTTTGTTCTGTAGACTATCGAGAAAAATATCTATAGCTCAAAGGGGCTAATAATTTTGACGTTAAAATGATCATTAAAAAGCCAAAATAAATCAAACAAATAAGACTTTCTCCTGAAGAAAACAATAGTATTAGACTTTCTGTGAAAATTTCCTTGCTCAATATTTTTGACTTATACATATATATGTGTGCGTGCGTGTTTTATTGTATTAATAAATGAAAATATACTGCAAAGCAGTCAATTGACCACTTGAAGATCATTCTGGGTTTGTGATTTATATTTTTGTATTTAAGTAAAACAAAATTTTGTTCAATTCTGTAAACTACTGATGACATTTCTTTCAATTTTATTCTTGAATAAATAACAAAAAAAAATGTAAACATGAGTGTATTTAGTTTTTACTAAACAGCAATACTAATGTTTAACATCTGAAGACATAAAAAAAAATAATGTTTGGTGGATTAATCATGAATTTCAATCGCAACAAATTAAAAAAAAAAAACTGTTATTGCGACAAATTGTCATTTTCTGGAAAAAAAAGGTTAATTAAACAAACAAAATAAAGTTTAGCCGAACTTTATAGAACAAAACAAATACTAACATTTTACTGAAACTGGCCCCCCATAGCTGTATATGAATAGCAGTGTCTGGTAATTGTCTGGTAATTAGGTGTTATGTTAAGTTTCACATGTTGATGCATGACAAGCGTGTGGATGTTCCTTTGTACAGACAGAGAACGTGACAAAGCGAAGGAGCGCTTCATCAAAGCCACCCTGAAACTGCATGAACACCACAATGAGTATGTGCTGTCAGTGAAAGCTGCGCAGGTTCATCACCAGCTCCACTACGGCCAATCACAGCCTGCGCTGCTCGGAGCCTTACAGACACTGCAGGAGGAAATGGTGCTAATTCTGTGAGTCAACTTTCATCACAAAATAAAGCCGGACAGGTCTATTGACAGCCTGAATTGAAGCAGAGCACTGTTGCATATGACTTAAAGTACTGTATTCTGCGAAAACAACCACCTGGATGTACTTTAGCCCATTTATTACATAGCCACTAAACAGTAATATGTGACACAAAACATTGTTCTGAGCCACGAAAGTTTGTTAATACTTTGATTATCCACTGAAAAAAAATATTTATTGGATTTACTACATTATTTTCCATGTAGGCAAAGCTGTCAGAAACAAAAATGGATGAATGGAGCATACACTAACTTAGTGTTTTCCAGCCCTGTTCCTAGAGGCACACCAACAGTACATATTCTGTATGTCTCCCTTATCTGACCCATTAACCTCAGGTTTTGGAGTCTCTTATGTTCTGATAAGTTGATTCAGGTGTGTTTGCCTAGGAAAAGGTTGAAATTGTGTACTGTCGGCGTGAATTCAGGAACAGGGTTGGGTAACACTGACTGCACTAACCTACGTATTATTCAGTCACAAGATGGTGCTAAATTGTCAAAAATAGCAGTGTGACATATAAGCAATTATTAGGCCCACATGGAATCTGCGCGAGCAGAATTCCGCAGATTTTCCGCAGAATTCCACAGATTTTCCGCAGAATTCCGCAGATTTTCCACAGAATTCCGCAGATTTTCCACAGATTTCCGCAAATTTTTAGCCCATCATTAATTATTTTTATTTACTTGAGTAAATCTAAGTTTATTCAGTTTTTTTTATTAATTACAGTGATATTATTGACTAATATGAAAATGTTCATCAGATTTATGTACAATGCAGTTTGTAAAGTCATATTTTCTGTCTTTTAGTAGATTAAGATTTTAGTAGATTTACCAAATAAAGTGAATCTAATTGGATTTGCATTTTAAACATTAAATAAAGGTTAAAATAAATATTTTTTATTTCACATATTAATGTTTTAGTTATGATACTTCCAAAATAATTCCGCAGAAATCCGTAGATTTTTACCAAAATTCTCTGCAGAAATAGCAAAAAATGTCCGCAGATTCAGTCTGACCCTAGAAATTGTATAGACGTCAGCGTATTCACTTATGGCGAAAGTTTGAAGTTCTCACATGAGCCTGTGTTAGTCAGAATACCATATCTTGGAATGTAACAACTGACCAATCAAAATGATGTATTCCAGACAGCCGTGTAAAAAAAAACGTGTTGAATGCTTGTTGATTGGCATGCAATAGATACAATTTTAAAAAGCTCTGGGTTGTTTTAACTCAATGCTAGGTAAAAAGACACCATTGGGTACAAAAAATGTAATTAAATTCTAATTTAAAGGGCTCCTGTTTTACACATTTGACAAGATTTAAGATAAGTCTTTGGTGTCTCCAGAATGTGTCTGTAAAGTTTCAGCTCAAAGTACTCATTAGATCATTTTTATACTCTCATTAATATATGTGAATTTTGGGGTTAGAGGACATTGTAGCTGTTGTGGCTGTCTGTGCCTTCAAATGCAAATGAGCTGGTTCTCCCTGCCCACTGTTCCCACATGTGTCTGTTTCTCCTGTTGCGTCACATCAGATAAACAGCAGTCAGTGACAGATGTATGTGAATGAAGCAGAGATTCTGTTCAGAGTCAAAATACCAAGTAAGATTATTTGATGTATTTGTTGTGGAGTTTATTCAAGATTTTCTAAAACGACGAGTGACACACGGTTGCCGTTAAAAAGTACCCAATACATGCACAACTTGTTTTAACTTTGCACTATTTATGCATTTCTACTTAAAGCAATTGATGGCCAATAGACAACACGATGCCGATCCTCCGCCCCAGTTGGAAACCCGCTTGCGAAAAACACACATTTAGGTCCCGTTTACACGAGCACGTCTTAGTTTTAAAATGGCATTTCAGAATAAAGATGATCCCTTTCCACACCGTGTTTTACCTAGCATTTCTGAAAAGTCCTCTGAAAAAGCACACCACATGACCACACACACACACACAGCCACACACACTGTCATGCGTCCATCTGAGCTCCAGTGAGCAGTGCACATTGGACAGTTTAATAAGGATGTATTGCTGGATTGCGTCTCACTATAGTTGTTAAACGTGATATTCAGACATCCCAAGTCTCCCGCAAATGCATAGAGCCTCCCAGATGCCCGCAGATGAGTGATAATCTCCCGGAAATTGCGCGCCTCCCTCCCAGTCCTCAAATAAGTCGAACACCCTTCTCAACCCTCACCACCGGATCACTCCTCGCTCTTCAGACACGTCGCACGCACTCTATCAAACACCTCCTTCCCCGCTTTTCACATAACGACAATGTCATCGTCCATCGCGATGTTTTATATTAGACATCGTATGATGCCGAATCGCCCAACCCTAGTAGACACTGCTGCATGGATATGTTATACTACTGTACAAAGTAAACCGGATTTAACATCTACAAACTGGGACTCCTGTTGTGTGCTTGAAACATTTTCACTTATAATTGTAGTGACGCAGCAGTGGCGATTCCAGCAGTTATGAATTACATTGTGATTTTACTTTTCTTAATACTATATGCACTGTTTTATAAACATTTAAACTTTTAAAACTCATTCTGCATGTGCAGCTGATCACAGAGAGTTGGAACAGATCTTTTAATCCCAGTTTTTATGCAAATCCTGTCCTGTGGACATGTTTATATGGATTACTATGAAGACATGTTAATATACACCTGTCAATCATATTGGTGGGTGGGGAAAACCACATTACTACATCACTTTGCGGTAGGCCTCAAAATCACAGGTATTTGGATATTATTTTAACGTCAGGAATTTAAAAAAATTAATTTGTTGTGTTTATATCATTTCAGTATGACTGTGGACACACTACACCTACACACAGTTCTGTTCAAACAGCATCCTGAAGTTGGTTTTGCATCATAGGTGTCCTTTAAAAAAAAAACTACATTGGGCGTGTTCGTATTTGACCCAACAACCCAGCATTGTTTTTTGTGTATGGTGTCATTGACTACTGGTCAGCAGTATGCGTAATCATTACCTTTTTTAGAACAGGCGACAGTTATAGACTTCTGCTTTTTTCCCCGAATGTACAATATACTGCAGATATAGATACAGTTAGTGGAAAAGCAGAAGTAGGGTATCTGTTTATGGTGTGTGTGTGTAATGTGACCTGTTTTTGTCCTCAGGAAAGAGATTCTGCAGGAGTATTTTGATCTGTCGAGTTTGATTCAGGATGAGGTAGTGAGTGTTCACACTGAAATGGCCAATGCCCTGAAGGCCATCCAGCCGCACAAAGAGTACGACAACTTCATTCAGCAAAACAGGTATATAAGTATTTCCCTTTTGTTCCCCAGGCTTTGCTAAATGCAAAGAGATCCCATATTAGATGAACAAAGGATGTAGCACACAGCTGCCTACTTTCTATATTGAACTGTGTGTCGTGTCCTAAAGTCAACATAACATCAAAGTCGACCCTGTTAACTTTAATTGTATATGTTCCTTTTTTGCTCATTATTCAAGATTGCACATTATAATTAACTGGATCAAACGGTTGGTCAAAGCTGATTCCTTAGCAACTATTCTGCTGTACTAACAAAGCTTAAACTTAAGCTTTTAAAAATCCTAAATGGATGGATAGATAAACTAATGGATTGACAGAAGGATTGTTGAACAGATATAAAGATGGATGCATGAATGGATTAATTGATTGTTAAATGGATGGATGGATGGATGGATGGATGGATGGATGGATGGATGGATGGATGGATGGATGGATGAATGAATGGGTGGATGGATGGATAGATTGATAAAAGGATTGTTAAACAGATATAAAGACAGATTCATGGATAAATAGATATGATGATTGTTAAATGGATGGATGGGTTGATAGAAGGATTGTTAAAAAGATATAAAGATGGATGCATGGATAGATTGATTGTTAAATGGATGGATAGATGGATTAAAAGGATTGTTAAACACATATAAAGATATATGCATGGATAGATTAATTGATTGTTAAATGGATGGAAGGATGGATGGGTTGATAGAAGGATTGTTAAACAGATATAAAGATGGATGCATGGATATATTAAATGATTGCTAAATGAATGGATGGATTGATAGAAGTATTGTTAAACAGATATAAAGATGGATAGATTGATTGTTAAATGGATGGATGGATTGATAGAAGGATTGTTAAACAGATATAAAGATGGATGCATGGATATATTAAATGATTGCTAAATGAATGGATGAATGGATGGATTGATAGAAGTATTGTTGAAAAGATGGTTATGAAGATGAATGGATAGATTGTTAAACGTATGGATGGATTCAATGATTGTCAAACAGATGTAAAGATGTATAGTCATTGATTGTTAAACAGATGGATGGATTCATAGCTTGTTAAACATAAAGATGGATGGGTAGATAGATTAATCAATTGTTAGATGGATTGATTTATTGATTGTTAAAATATATGGATGGATGGATTTATTGATAAACAGATATTAAGATGGATGTATGAATTGATGCATGGACGAACAGATGAATGGTGGATAGATAGATTAATTGATCATTAGATGGATGGATGGATTGATTTATTGATTGTTAAATGAATGGATGAATTTACTGATAAACGGATATAAAGATGGATGAATGGATGCATGAACGAACATGAATGATGGATAGATAGATTCATTGATTATTAGATGGATGAATGTATTTATTGATTGTTAAATGTATGCATGGATGGATTTATTGATTGTTAAACAGATATAAAGATGGATGGATGGATGCATGGATGAACAAATGGACGATGGATAGATAGAGTCATCAATCATTAGATGGATGGATGGATGGATTCATTGATTGTAAGATGGATGGATTGGATTTAATGATAATTTATCTGATATAAGGATGGATGAATGGATGGATGAACGAATAGACAGACAGATGGATAGAAAGATAGAAAAATAGATTTTTAGATTAAAGCATTGGATTTACTAATGGATGGATGGACGGATAGATTAATGGATGGATTCATTGTTAAATAGATACAAAGATTGATGGATATTCATTGATGGTTAAATGGATAAATAGATTCATTTAATATTGGATTTATTCATTGTTAAACTGATGGATGGATGGATAGATGGATAAGAATGGATGGATAATTTGTTAGATGGATGGATGGATGGAAGGAGGAAGGGATGGATGGATGGATGGATGGATGGATGGATGGATGGATGGATAGATAGATAGATAGATAGATAGATAGATAGATAGATAGATAGATAGATAGATAGATAGATAGATAGATAGATAGATAGATAGATAGATAGATAGATAGATAGATAGATAGATAGATAGATAGATAGATAGATAGATAGATAGATATTTTTCACTAAGAAAACATGTTGTTGAAGTGGGAGGGAAAGTTGCTTTGACTACAACATGACTAAAAAATAAATTCAACTAATAACATCACAGCCCAGTTTAGGTTTAATAATCAAATCCTGATTAATCAAGTCATAGCGAGCATTATCTCCATTTCATTTGTGCAGGTCACGAGGAGAGGTTCCTGCATGTGTGGAGTTTGACTGCAGTCTGCTGGAAGAGGCTGACGCTCTGGAGCCTGAAGATCTGCAGCTCAATGAGCTCACAGTAGAGGGAATCCAGCATCGGTGAGCTGCTGCTTCTTTTTTCTGACCACCACTGTGGAGCAACAGTGCTGGCAGTGAAAGCGCAAATGCCAGAAAGGAAGAAGTGAAATCGCTGTTGTTGTTTCTAAAACTGTGATGAACAATTGAACACTCTAACAGGTTTTATGGATTTATATATATATATATATATATATATATATATATATATATATATATATATATATATATATATATATATATATATATATATATATATATATATGCGCGTGTGTGTGTGTTTGTTGTTGTTTGTTATTGTTTGTGTGTGTGAGTGTGTGTGTGTTTGTTTTGGATAACAGGCACCATTTTAAGCTAATTAGAAACCAGATAATTAGTTTTTTTATTTGCACACTAAAATCTATTCTCTAAGCAGGACATCACAACCCATTACGCAGGGGGTTTTTTTACAGCAAAAGGTTTTTTCTATAATCTGCAAAATGTGCTAAAAAACACTTTTTTTGTGCCAAAAAGCACAAACCTGGTAATTGGTTGTGTGTTCATATAAATTTTATTATAATCAGGGCTTCACATTAACACATACCAAATGCAGGTAGATTTCAGCTGTGGTGGGTTAAACAGCTGCTCTCACTAGCCACTTTGGCTGGTTGAAAATAATTTTTAAATTGCTAATGCTGGCTCGTCACTAAAGAGTAGACTGTTAGACCTAATCCCAATTCTAGTTTTTTACCCCTAACCCTTAAACCCCTGCCCTTAAAACCTAGGGTTAAGGGGAAGGGCTTCAAAATGTACCCCTAAGAATTGGGACAGCACTACAGCACCTATACACGTCATCATATGTCATCGCAATCTCTTGCTTCATATGAGATTGAAGATCGCAAATTATTCCAGCTGTTATTTTTTCCAGTATTTAGCTTCAGGAAATCACTGAATGCATATATCATGTTATCATAAAGATATAATGTGGCAATAAGATTGTTACTATACTGCACATTTACATACACTGTGGCCATATTCATCTATGTAAACACACCAAAAACAACATTAACATTATAGCAGACACTGTAAAAAGCCCAATCCCAGCCACTAGACTTTTCTGACAGGGTATTCAAGTGTCGGAATGTTGTGGGACTGCTGTACAGAAGTTATTATTAGGGATTATAGTTTTTATAGCCGTTTTTATTTTAGCATTTGTTTTTAAAGCATGGCGGTAAAACACGAACGTGGTGATGAATGTATTAATACATGTGCTTGTTTGTTGTAAAAATTCGTAATAATGACAAAAAATACTAATTTGTGGATTTAGTGACCTCCAGGTGCTGCTATCCTGCCGTTGTGGCTGCTGTATCCTGGGAAATTTAAAAAAAAAAAAATTAAGTTTCAATTGGAGATTAACTCTCCATGTACGTATAGTTAACTGATGATCTGATTTTACACTCATGACCTCCCCACAACACACTTTCTACTTGGCCAGAGAAAAAAAAGGTAAACCTTTAGTGTTAAGCCCTGAAAAGTCATAGAAAAAAACTAATTGCAATGCCAAACTATGAAACCACAGCCCATTTGCTCATGCTCATTGAGCAAGCTTATACACAACACACAAAAAACTTAAATGAACGATTAGGCATGTGGACAAATCACAAAATCTAAGGCAATTTTTGCATGCCAAAGTCAAATTTATGCATATAAAATATATTTTTACAAATACAAAATTGTGGCTAATGTAAATGTTGATTGGCTAGTTACATTGGAAAGCTACTTGCAACAGTGGCTGGTGATCAAAAAAGTTAATGTCAAGCCCTGATAATATTAATAATAATAATGTCAAATTCACAACCCATTCAAAAGAAAAATGTTTGCATACTCAAGAAATATTTTAATTGTTTATAGTTTTATTGACTAAATAAAAAGAAAAAGTACTGTAACATTTGTAAAAGCATTTATATGTTTGGATACAGTAAGTTTTTTTTTTTTTAAATAAATAATTTTATTCAACTAGGATGCATTAAAATGCTCATTAATGACTTAAGAACTAGTAATTGCTGCTTAAAATTTCAGCTCTGTCATCAAAAATGTTAAATTACATTTTAAAAACTATATAATAAATATAATAAAAATTATATTTACAAAATGTTAATTAAAAATTTTAATACTATTTCACAATATTGTCGTTTTTAACGGGACAGTTCACCCTAAGTTTCTTTTTTCTGCTGAACACAAAAGATATTTGGAAGAATGTTAGAAGCCAGCAACAAAGACTATAGAAGACACAAGACATGTCACTGATATGGTTTTGCATGGGAACATGTGTAATAGTCAATATGATGACTGAAGCCCCGCCTACTAGTAAAAGCACCAATCAGTGATCGCTAATAACTGACGAATCTCTGGGTGAGAAGCTCGGAGCAGACATGTGCTTTTATGACGGTTAATGTGGTCAACAAGCACACTGAAATCTCAACGAATACTTGCCTTACATACATAAGAAATATATCCACATAAAGTTTGAAATCTGTACTTTTAAATGAACCAACTATTCTTGAAAACAACAGTTTTCCGGATTGTAATCTGTATGAAATGAATGTGAGGTACAATCCGCTGTGTCAAACACACATTACATGACAGCAACCACTCAAACGCCCACAAACCTGCAAACAAAGATTTGCTGTCATTTCTGGAGGAGATTCGCCTGCAAGACCAAGTTGTTAATTACTTCAGAAGACCAGCGCGATCAGACGAAGCATTATCCAGAAGAAGATAATCGTACAGTTAGCTTGACAAACAGTCTTGGAGAATTTGATGTTTCCTCATTTAGACAGAATGCCTAGTGTAGATTGCCCGAGAGGCATTTGAAAAATGGCCGCTAAGTGTAATGACTTGCCTTAAAGGGACTTTGTAAGTAACCACTGACATCCGTATTAGGAAAAACAATTACTATGAAATTTAATGGTTACCAGTTTCCCTTAAATTATTTTTCATTTAACATTTTTCAAAAAAGCTTTTATGTTTAACAGAAGACATAAACTCAACAGGTTTGTGACAAGTGAAGGGTGAGTAATTGAATTTCTTTTAGTTTTGGGTGAACTGCCCTTTTAAATGCAGCAAAAAACACCAGTGCTGAAAACGTTCACACTTCCTGATATATATATATATATATATATATATATATATATATATATACACACTTCACAAAAATTTGCTTGCATGACTGGCTGGCTGCAGTATTTTCACTATTTTCAGTAGCATCATACCTCATTTTGCAGTCTCATCACTGCTTCTCTTTTTGCTGTTCTTTAAAGGTCCATGAAACCCCCCTGTCTCAGCAGGGTGTTTTCACACCTCTAGTTTGAAAAAAGTCAGGAAAGTGGGTGAGTCCAGCTTTGTTTAGGGGGAGTGTCGAGTGGTAAAAGAGGGAAGGGTTTGCATGAAAAGGGGAGTTTCAGTACTTGCACGCCCTGATTTTCACAGCAAACACAGACGCAGAGATAGACAGTGACTACGTTTACATGGACATCAGTAATCAAATTAGTAGCCTGCGTCTAAATTAAACAATATTATGATCACGGTGTTTAAATTATCATGATCCTGTTTTAAATGTTATAGCACATAATACGATTAACATCATTGCATCATTGCCGCGCTATCCACATTTCCTCCGGTGTTTCATGTAATTTTGGGTGTTTCGTTCTTAATTTGTCGACTTTAAACGCAGTTTGGCACTTTCACTTTCATTCAGGAATTTTTCATGCATGCCCCCCGTGACAAACGAGATGTATTAGATGGAAGGAACTACAGTAAGAGTCTAGTGTTAATGGAATTTGATACCGCACGCCGTATGGGAGAAAAAAAAACCTCCACATTTCTCGGTAGTTGCAGAGACTCGTTAGGTGCAGAGAATAGCGTCAAACAGTGTGTAAAGACTATCCTGTCACAAAATGCGGCGAAAATCATTTCCATTGAAAATCCTACATGACGGTAATAGTTTGATTAAGGTGTTTACTTGTTTACATTGGGAGAGCAGCATTTACAGCAGATCTTTTAGTCCATAATGTTATTTTGATATTAACGTACTGTACACTTGGTTACTAAAGCATTTTGATCATGGTATGTCTTTAAAAACGGAGCGTACTGCTGACAATACTACCTAACTCAGTAACAAAGAACACTGATCACACACTTACCTAATCCGTAGAGAAAGGACAATCTACACGAACTGGAAACGTGTCTTTTTTTTAAAAGAAGACGAGCGGCAATCCGGATTTCACCCGTTGCGAAAAGCTCTCAGGTAAAAAAATGTTGCTTACAAACATATTGCTGCCGCATGTTAGCAGACCACTGTCATCCACAGATGTGAGGCCACACGCCAGCTGCTCTCTGTAAGTGGGAAATGAAAACAAAACATTTGTTGCAGCACATTTATAAACGAAACACTGATGACCCATGTCTCCGAACAATTCTTCCTCTTTCACTTTTTTTAATTACGTCTGAACCTCATTTACAATAGAGCTTACTGATTGCTTTAAACCAAGTCTTTCTCATGAATTAATGCTGAAAACTCAAAGACGTCTCGTTGTACCCGCCGATACAGACATCCAGTCTCAATGCTTGCTTTTACACAAGAATCTCATGGCCGTGACGCAGCATCAAAATTTCTTTTCAAACCGAAAGAATGAATTTGCGAAATAACCAAAAAAAATAAATAAATAAATAATAATAATATTTTACTCTTTTTTTTTGTGAAACATGTTTGTCCTAATAGTGTTTTTAGCAGCATGGGACACACATATGAATGCCATCATCTCAAAAAATGTGCTTTGGTGTTTCGTGACCCTTTAAGGCTCACGGCTGTGGAGGAGGAGCTCTTGGGTCTGGCCAGTACTCTGAGTTCGCAGCAGGCCACTGTAAACCAGCTGGAGTTGGATCTGCAGGATGAGGAGAGATCTGCGAACATAGGGCAAAGGTGAGCCTGCAAGGTCTTTGCACACAAAACTAAACGCCTCAGCAGTATAATTACCAAATAGAGTTTTACAGTGTCCCTACTATGCTTTTATCACCTTTCATGTAGTAAAATGGCTGTTTGTGAAGGTAAACGGACTGCAAAGTTCACAATGAAGGAAGCTTATGATGACCACAAGAAAGAAGTGCTTCTGAACTGCATGAAATGAGTCATATTTGCATAAAGTCAGTCTGTGGTTGCCAAGGCGCAGTGCACTTTTCTCTTACGTTTGCTTTTAAAAACAATTGGGTTAAAGGAAGAGTTTAGGTCAGTGGTTTGATCTATACAACAAGCCACGTGTACAGATGCTATGACAAGTCTGAGTTAGTTTCTTTTTTTTTCTCCGAGCAAGCTTACAGAATGGAGAAATTTTTTCCTACATGTGGTTTGTCAAACCCACTCGACTAACTGCAGCACACTCAGAACTGCACAGTGTTTTCAAGAAGTATGGGATGCTTATTAGAAGTGCATAATAAGAAGGTGTCTGGTGCATATGGAGAGGAAACGAGTGTCACCTACAGGTGGTTTCTCAAGCCCACTCACCTGCGTAAGGCACACTCGGAATTGCACAATGTTTTCACGAAGTATGAGGTGCTTATGAGAATGTGTCTGGTGCATATGAACAGAAAAAGATTTACCAACAGGTGGTTTGTCAAGTCCACTCACCTGCATTAAGCACTCTCAGAATTGCACAATGTTATCAAGTAGTTTGGAGTGTGTCGTATAAGAAGACGTCTGAAGCACACTCAGAATTGCATGATGTTGATTTTGTTTAACTATGAATGCGATCTTTTGTTTTTCAGGGTTTATCAGTTCAGTAAACGTAACGCTCTGGAGGACAGCAGGCAGCAGGTGGTTCTGTCTATGGTGGTTCGAGCTCGTCTGGAGGCCCAGCGGAGGCTTCTGGCAGATAAACTTCAGTGTCTTGGCACTAATGAGCTTCCTTCTTTAGGCCTGGATGATGATCGGATATCTCTGACCTCCAGCAATTCAGTTAGTTAACTTGCAACTTATTCAGTCTTTCCTACATCCTACACTCACTTTGCTTTCTTCAGCTGTACTTGAATTGATTTGGAAAGGTTTTAAACTTTGGATTTACCATTCTGCAATACTAAGTCAAATTCACGCAGCTACATATGAATTAAAACCTTTGTAACTTTATAAAACATCAACTTGACTGAAAGTACAATGAAATCATAAAATGGCCCCTGTAAACAATCTAGTAGCTTCATCAAAACTGTAAAAAGCAGAAGGTCTACTTTAAATGACAGTCATGCTTGTTGTAACATGTTGTAAAGTTGATTTTGAAATACGAGAATTGCACAACTATCTATACTCTGAACTACCAGGGCTCTCTCTCTCATGCTCTTTGACCTTTCCGAATATGGCTTTTTCCCTGTGAACACCCATAACAAGACAAAGATTTTTTTTTTATATTTCCCAAATAATGTTTAACAGAGCAAGGAAATTTTCACTGTATGTCTGATAGTATTTTTTCTTCTAGTTAAAGTCCTATTTGTTTTATTTCGGCTAGAATAAAAGCAGTTTTTAATTTTTTAAAAACCATTTTAAGGTCAAAATTATTAGCCCGTTTAAGCTATATTTTATACAGAACAAATCTTTATACAATAACTTGCCTAATTACCCTAACCTGCCTAGTTAACCTAATTAAACTAGTTAAGCCTTTAAATGTCATTTTAATCTGTGTAGAAGTGTCTTGAAAAATATCTAGTCTAATATTATTTACCGTCATCATACAAAGATAAAATAAACCAGTTATTAGAATTGAGTTATTAAGACTGACGTTTATACAAAGGCTTTTGCACAGTACTGTATAATGTTTGGGTATTTCTTTGTCTCTTAATTAAGATATAAACAGAAATTAATCATAAATATGGAAAATTTCTTTTCAGTTGATCTCATACTACCTCTATAACGTTCAGGTCTGGACTCTGTGGAGGTCATTTCATGACTGCCAGTGTTTTATCATGTTTATTTCCTTTAAATATTATTTCACTATCGTTGCATTTAAATCTGAAACCTGTTTGTTTTCAGTCAGATTCTCAGATTCCGACCGTCAGTTTAGACAGTGCTATGACAAAAAAACAAGAGGAGGAGTCTGTTAGGTTGTAATAACTCTCCTGAAACATTTTTCCAGATTTTTCTGAATGAGATGCCTACTTTACAACATCCAATCAGCTCGCAGTAGAAATAACAAGCCACGCCCACTGTTTTCTCATTTAATATTACGTTTCTTTAGGATCTGCGTCACAATACGATAAAGAAAATGGTTGCATCTTCCGGTTCATTCGAATGTTAAATTTGTTATGTATAGAAAAACTACATGCATGAGTGAATGACAATATATGTAAATACAAAAAATATAATGTAATTATAGTATTAGGAGAGGCTTTAATATATGCATCATTACATTTGCACACCTTATCTATCATGTAGTTCATCCTTATATCATATCATGCAGGAGCGTGACAAAGACCACAAGCACCTGAACATTGATGTAATCAGGAATCACCTGAGCAGCCTGTTCAAGCCCAAATACACGGTCAGTAGTGCTTCACGTCTGTCTTTCTCTCTCAGCTCCTCCCTGCTCAGCGCTCATATCTGTATGTGCAACTTGTGTCTGTAGAGTAGTGTGTTTTATACACCTCAACAGGTTCCCCCAGCCTTGACACCAGTGCCCGACGTGGAGAAGCCCCTGACGCAGCAGGTCTGGTATCATGGTGCCATCCCACGTATGGAGGTGCAGGAGCTGCTGAAAAATGATGGAGACTTTCTGGTTCGAGAAAGTCAGGGAAAACAGGAATATGTGCTTTCTGTGCACTGGGGCGGTCAGTGCCGACACTTCCTCATTCAGAGTACAGACGTGAGTTTACCATACTGCAAATGAGTTCACTGTGTGTTATCATGGGTGGTGGAATGTTTGGTTTAAAGCGGCCCTATTATGCCTCTTTTAACAAAATGTAAAATGAGTCTCTGATGTCCCTAGAGTAAATATGTGACATTTCAGCTCAAAATACCACACAAGAAATTTGTTATAACTCTTTGAAACTGCTCCTTTTAGGCTTTGATGCTAATGGTCCTGTTTTGGTGACTGTCGCTTTAAATTCAAATGAGAAATGCTCTTTTCAAAAGGGGGCGGGTCTATGAATGCCTCATTGTGGCAGATTCAAAAACTCCAATGGGTGGGGCTTTTCCCTTAGATGACACATACAAAGGCAGAATGTCAATCCAAGGGCTCTATTTTAATGATCTAGGCGCAAAGTCTAAAGTGTATGGCCCAAAGGGTTAAGGACATGTCCAAATCCACTTTTGCTATTTTAAGGATTGAAAAATATGCTTTGCGCCCCAGAGCATGGTCTAACAGGGTTGTGCTTATTCTTTTAGGCCCCATTTACACTGCCAGTTAAATGTGACCCAGTTCCAAATTTCTTTGCTCATATGTGACACAGATCAGATCTGTTCTATGGCAATGTAAACACGAAAAAAAATGCATACATTCAGATATTCAGAGATCTGTTTCAGGCCTCCTTCATATGTGGATATAAATTGGATATGTGACAATGCGACTGTCATGTAACCAGCCAGATCGGATTTATTGAGTCATTAAGTTTTGTACGTCATTAAACTTGCGACAATGTGGTGCTTCTCCGCAATTTAATGACATAGAAGGAAGAGCATGTGTGGTGACGCTGATGCGGTAAACAACAACAACAACAGAGGAAACATGGAGGAGAAAAGTGGTCAGTGGCCACAATTTGCTCCCACCAGACCTGAGATCTCTCTCGTACCCACAAATTTCTCTGAAAGGTGAAGGAAACCATACATAAACCACAGGCGCAAGCTGCGATGACAGCACTTTCACTCCTCCTCCGCCTCAAAATCATTTTAACATTGGGCGAACTTATATATATTTACATATTATATATATATATATAATTCTATATATTTGCATATTTTACAGAGCTAAAAAGAAGACAAATTCTTCCATCGTTGGTAGTGTGGCACAGATGCTAGAACCCGCCTTTATGTATGTGCGACATTGTAAATCAGTGGTCACCAAACTTGTTCCTGGAGGGCCGGTGTCCTGCAGATTTTAGCTCCAACTCTAATCAAACATACCTGAACAAGCTAATCAAGGTCTTACTAGGTATATTTGAAACATCCAGGCAGGTGTGTTGAGGCAAGTTGGAGCTAAACTCTGCAGGGACATCGGCCCTCCAGGACTGAGATTGGTGAGCCCTGTCGTGAATGGCATAGCAAATGTAAACTCATAAATCGGATATGTGTCACAATTAAAAGAATGTGTAAACGGACAGATATAGACAACAAATCGGAATTGGGCTTCAAGACCAGACAGTGTAAAAGGGGCCTTAATAAGTTAATAATTAACCAATAATCATTAAAAATTAATAATAAACCAATCAGAGTCTCATCTCCCTTTCCCTTTAAGAGTCAGTTGCTTTGCCCAAAGGCGCATTTGCTATTTACAAGGTGCACTTTGTAAGAGGAAAAACTGAATGATTCACTGGTGAGAAAACAGGTAAACAAACCATCTGCAGCACAAGGATAAAGAACGAGCCTCCTCCATTCGCCCTCTTTACTTTTACTCGTTACTTTACTAATTTACTTTCGTGGATAAGGAAATGGTGTTGTACGCACTCTTTTGAAGACATCCATTAGCCTACATTTTTTATTTCATTTGTTAAGCACAAAGATTTGTTTCAAAACTATTTCTCAATTCCGTTCTACTTTCCTGCAAAATGCTGGTCATATCCAAACACACGTCCTATTCTTATGCCCCATATGGTGATGCATACATCTCCAAAACCCGAAAATGTATCAAAGCAAATATAAATATGCATATAATAAATAATACTAATGATAATAACATTATACAAATGCAAATGGTCATGAATGAACTGAAAAAAGCCCCCGACATGAAGAAGCCATGGAGGCAGTGGTTTTAATAATTATCTAGAAAATAATCATTTTTGTAATATTTTAATCCTTAATTTCTTTTATATGTAAAGATATTTGTGTATTGCTGTACATCCTGTGTTTGTTAAGCAATATGTTAGCATTTGTACCCACATAGGCACATAATTAACGCACTCTAAGCTGGACTTTAGACCAGCTTTCAGTTGGTCAAATTGCGCAGTTTATTTCAGTTCCTCAAAATAGCAACACGCTAACAATGCCCCTAACGCACCCTATTTTCAGACCAGCACGCCCCTGAGTCCACAAAGTGGTGCAAATGGATTTGCCATTTAAACAGCATGGTGCAAAATGTGAATATTAGGGTTGCGCTGGTCTGAAAATAGCAACAAATCGCGCCAAACATGTCTTGCACCTTATTGCGCTGAGTGAATGATAGAGCCCAAAGTGTTTCTGCAGACTGTTTTTGTGAAGTGAAATTATGTATAAAAAAAAAAATAAATTGAATGAATCAATTTCAAATTAATCTACAAATATGCTGTTTATTTACTCTCACTTAGGTCATATAAGATGTACAGTAGGGGCTTTTTTACTTAATCATAATGTAATAATGTTGAAACTAATGTTCAGTTTCTTGCACAAATGAGTTGTTTTGCTTCATAAGACCTCGGTGTTTTTTTTGTTTAGTCTTTTTAGGCATATTATAATGTGTAGCCATTGATTTACATATTATAAATCACTAAAGATCATGTTTTGAGCTGAAAAAAATATTCTTTAATGCTCTACTGAAAGAAAAATATCCATCTTCCATTGTCCGAAGGTAAGTATAATAATAACAAATATTTATTTCCAGGTAAACTATGACTTTAAACTTTAAAGTAACATTGCTATTACAAAAATATTTGTGACGAAATCATTTTCTGTCTGCTGTTTAAAAAGCGATTAGTTACTTCACTTTCAAATGTGAGTAAACGCATTGAATAAAAAGCAACAAGTTGATCTTACATAAAGTTAATTTAAACTCATTGTTGGTGGAAGCTGTTAAGTTGACTGAACATAACTATGCACATAGGTAATTTAGCTAACAAAATTAATGCAATGGATTTATTCAAAGTAAAGTCAACTAAAAGCTTTTACTCAGTCTGGTAGATTGTGTGCTGCTTCAGATTATTTTCTTTATTATTTGAAGTCATTATATTTGTGTGTGTGTTTTAGGGAGTGTATCGTCTGGACGGTGAGGGATTCATCTCTGTCCCGCTGCTAGTGAATCATCTCTTTAATTCCCATCAAACGGTCACAAAGAGGACAGAGATTGTACTGAAGAAACCCATCCCGAAGGTTGGTCTCTGATCTACTACAGCTCTAAATGAATTGTTACTGATGTGTAGCTGATATATGATTGCCAAGATTAGAATTGAAAAAAATATTTAGTAATTTCTTCAACATCACTGTCCTGTTGAGCTGTTCAGAGAGGTTTTAGCGCCCCTTTGTGTCCACTTTAAAATACACTAGTCATCACTATACTCCACAAACTACTGTAATTACAATTAAAAAACTAATCATGTTTATTTGATTGACCCTAGTTAGATTTTTTTTAAAGACGTTTAAATTGTAGGTTTATAAATATTTTCAAATAATTGCTTCATAAAAGTATTTGTAATAGTAACTAAACTATTGTTCTTATTACTATTATTTAAAAACATTCATAATCCAGCAATACAAAAACCTTTGTATTAAACAATCTATAAAATCATAATTATTATTATTATTATTAGCCATAGTAAATTACTTAATTTTTAACTTAATAATAATAATAATAATAATAACGACAACAATAATAATAATCTATTTGAAAATAATAATACTAATATAATAAAAACAATAATGTAATACTAATCTTATTTAGTCATAAATTAATGAATTTCTGTATGTATTTATTTTTTATTTTAATTAATTAATTAAGTTTATTTTGTTATTTAATTTCATTATTATATTTTTTATAATGAGTGGTTGTAGAAGTTGTAATATTTTTTACAAACATTACTTGAAACTATTGAAAATTCCACAATACAAACATCTTTATTATTTTTTTTTTTTTATTTAGATATAAAATATATATATTTTTAATATTTACCAAAGTGAATTCCTTTATTGTTAAATTAATATTAATAATAATTATAACAATAATGAATAATAATTATAATATAATAACAATAAAATAATAGTAAGCTTATTTAATAATTATTTATTTCGTTTCTGTATGTATTTATTATTTTAATTTTAATTTATGTATATTATTTCATTTATTTTTTTCAACCCTTAAACCAAAAATAGTGTTATTATTGTATTTTTTATAATGAGTAGTTGTAGAAGCAGTAGTATTTTTTACGAACGTTATTTCAAATTATTGAAAAATCCACAATCCAAACATCTTTATTATTATTATTTTATTTAAATATAAAATATATTTTTATTATTATTTGCCATAGTAAATTACGTAATAATTATCAAATTAATAATAATAATAACGGTAACACTTTACAATAAGGTTCATTAGTTAATGCATTTACTAACATGAACTAATCATGAACAACACTTGTACAGCATTTATTAATCATAATTGAACATTTACAAATGCATTATTAACATCCAAGTCCATGCTTGTTAACATTAGTTAATGCACCATGAGTTAACATGAACTAACAATGAACTACTGTATTTTCATTAACTATTGTTAACTAACATGAATAAATACAGTAGTAAATGTATTGTTTATTGTTTGTTCATGTTAGTAAATGCATTAACTAACATTAACTAATGAACCTTATTGTAAAGTGTGACCATAATAACAATAAGCTATTTTAATAATAATATAATTTTAACAATCTTAATTGGTAATTAATTAATTAATGTATGTATTTATTATTTTCTCTTTAAATAGTTAATTTTATTATTATTTTTTAATATTTTAACCTTTATACCAAAAATTGTGTTATTATTATATTTTTTATAATGAGTGGTTGTAGTAGTAGTAATATATTTTATAAACATTGTTTGAAAATATTGAAAAATCCACAATCAAAATCTTTATTATTATTTTTTATTATTCTTATTCTTATTATTATTATTATATGATTTATATATAAAATATATTATTATTAATATTTACCATAGCAAAGTACTTAATACTTTTTAAATTAATATTAATAATAATAATAGCAATATTAAAATATTTTAATAAAAGAAAATATAATAATAATATAATAATATTAAGCTTATTTAGTAGTTAATTTCTGTATGTATTTATTTATTTATTTTAATTAATTAATTTATTTTATTTTGTTATTTTATTTATTTTAAACCTCAAACCAAAATTTGTTTTATTATTATATTATATTAAATTATATTAGATTATATTTATTATATTATATTATATTATATTATATTATATTATATTATATTATATTATATATTATATTATATTATATTATATTATATTTATTATATTATATTATATTATATAATTTTTTTATAATGAGTGGTTGTACAAGTAGTAATATGTTTTACAAAAATTATTTAAAACTATTGAAAAATTCACAATTCAAACATCTTTATTATTATTATTATTCATTTTTATTATTTATGTTATTATTATATAATAGCATTATTTAATAACACTAAATTATTACTAACATCTACAAAAGACCTAATGTTGATTTCACAAGGACATTAATATACTATATTTGACGTTTGACTTTGTTTTTTTAGCTGCTAGGTCTACTGCTGTATATCTTGTACACTTGCAGAGATTTTTGACAGAGATACATTTTATGGCTTTTTTTAGGATAAGTGGGTCTTGGAACATGATGATGTCATTCTTGGACAGAGCATTGGTCGAGTAAGAATTAAATAAAAGGACTGAAGTTTTATACAATGTTTAACTAATAACTGGCCAAAGCAGTTTAATGATGTTGTTTGGTTTATAATGTTATCAGGGTAACTTTGGTGAAGTGTTCAGCGGCCGCCTGCGCTCAGACAACACTCCAGTGGCTGTGAAAGCCTGCAGAGAAAACCTGCCTGCAGAACACAAGAACAAGTTCCTCATGGAGGCCAGGTTTATATACATACACGCACACGCACACACACACACACACACACACACACACACACACACACACACACACACACACACACCTGTACACTGTAAAAATTTTTTTTTAAAAATTCAGTTTCTGTATTTTGTCTTTTCCATTTATTTATGGTTGTAAATTGCATTCTGGGATGTTGATCTCTGCCCTGCGACTTTTGATGTTGAAAATTCAACTCTACAGTTTAACAAAGTGACTTTTATTGACATTTTAGTAGTTTGAAATAATATAACGTATAAGAAATAATGTATAGAGGAATAAGCCTGTAAAATGACAGCAAATGAACTGGCAGTTTATTACAGGTTTTTGTACTATAATATACAACCCCAAACCAGACAATATATCACTTTAAACTATTAAAATGTCAATTAAAGTCAATTTCTCAATCTGTTCAAGATTAAAAGTTGTTGAAAGAAAGATCATAATAGATCATCCCATAATGCAACTCAAAAGCCTAAATAAACTTGGAAAAATTAAAAGATGAATCACAAAATACTGAAAACTGCTATTTTAAGGATATTTTACAGAGTATATGGTCACACACCTTCTCATTCAACTGAACATCTCTGTGTTTCTGCGCCAGGATCCTGAAACAGTACGACCATCCAAACATAGTGAAGCTTATCGGCGTCTGCACTCAAAAACAGCCTATTTACATCATCATGGAGCTGGTGCAAGGTACATCACAGCTTTGTTAAACATCACTTTAAAAAAAAGGCGAAGATTCTGTCATCATGTTTTATTTAATTATTGTTTATATATTTTATTTTTTTACCATCAACACGAAGCCACTGTCAAGCTTCCCTCACCACAAAACATATTTTATTTTACTGTGAAATTTGAAGGACTACTGGACATGGTTTCTGTACTGAGAGCATGTTTAATGGAACTTTTTAGAAATATATCCCCAGGAATAATTTTAAATTAAGTAATAATTATAATTATTATATCTAATAATTATTATAAGTAAATATGTAAATGTTATATATATAAATATATAATAAATATAAATATAAAGTTGTGTATCATATACTGAACTGAAAAATCATAACTAATATTTTTTATGTAAAATGTTTTGTTTCTGTTTATGTATTTTTTGTATTATCTCTTATTGAATTATGATATTGTTATTATTATGTAATGTTTTAATATATTACATTTAGCCTTTGGCTATATATATATAAATACTGGGCGAAGCAGTGGCGCAGTAGGTAGTGCTGTTGCCTCACAGCAAGAAGGTCGCTGGTTCGAGCCTTGGCTCAGTTGCCGTTTCTGTGTGGAGTTAGCATGTTCTCCCTGCGTTTGTGTGGTTTTCCTTCGGGTGCTCCAGTTTCCCCCACAGTCCAAAGACATGCGGTACAGGTGAATTGGGTTGGCTAAATTGTCTGTAATGTATGAGTGTGTGTGTGTGGATGTTTCCCAGAGATGGGTTGCTGGATAAGTTGGCGGTTCATTCTGCTGTGGCGACCCTGGATTAATAAAGGGACTAAGCCGACAAGAAAATGAATGAATATATACATACTTGTTATATGTTTTTATTAATACACACTTAATATGTGTAATTATAATACACATTTTATAATTTGATATTTTTAATTTAATCAGTTTTTCATCGTATATTAAATTAATAATTAAATTATGAAATCATTAAATATTGTTTTTATTTAGTATTTACTGAAAAGTTCTTAAAGGAACTCCTTAATTGTTACAAAGAGCATTTTGTTTATTTTATTAATAATATTTTTTTATTTTATGAATAATGTATTAGTAATATTATGCATTATACTTTATATGCAATTCTATTTAATGTGGACAGAAATTCTTAAGGAACTATTTTTCTTCGAATCACCATTGCTTTGTTTTTTGTTTATTAATTGTATTTTTTAATGATTACTTTTAAAATTTATATAAAAAAAATTCATTAAATTTTATTTATTAATTAGTTATAATATAATTTTTCTGCGAAAAAAGGTTCTAATTTTGTTACATCTGTAGTTTTTTATCAGCTTGCCTGTTTGTTAATTATATTAAATAAAATAGGAAATTACAAGGCGACGCAGTGGCGCAGTAGGTAGTGCTGTCACCTCACAGCAAGAAGGTTGTTGGTTCGAACCTCGGCTCATGTTATCCCTGCCTTCGCGTGGATTTCCTCCGGGTGCTCCGGTTTCCCCCACAGTCAAAAGACATGTGGTACAGGTGAATTGGGTAGGCAGAATTGTCCGTAATGTATGAGTGTGTGTGTGGATGTTTCCCAGAGATGGGTTGCAGCTGGAAGGGCATTCGCTGCATAAAAACTTGCTGGATAAGTTGTCGGTTCATTCCGCTGTGGCGACTCCGGATTAATAAAGGGACTAAGCCGACAAGAAAATGAATGAAGAAATTACAAAGATAAGACTAGATTACAAAGATTTGAAGTAGAATAAAATCATAAATAATGCTTTTTGTCACAAAAGTATTTAATGTTTTTGCTTTTTATAATCATTTAACACAGTAATTGTATTGTTAAATTAAAGATCAATTATGAAATGAAATGAAATAACTACATCATATTTATATATGTTTTATTTTAATATTTTATGTAATATGAAAAAGCTTATTTAGTAACAACTTTCGTCACAGCTTTTTGCCTTTTATTGATGTATATAATGATTTTGTTTCAAAAAATACTTATTAAATACATTATTTTTTAATTACTAAGCATACTGTATTATTTTCTATATAATAAACTATTTTAACTGTTGAATAGAATAGAATAGAACTATTCCTTTACAAGCAAATCTTTTAATGGCATTTTCTTCTGGCAGGAGGAGACTTTCTGACGTTTCTGCGCACAGAAGGCCACAACCTGAAGTCCAGCATGTTGATCAGGATGGCAGAGAACGTGGCGTCAGGCTTGGCGTATCTGGAAAGCAAAAAGTGCATTCACCGGTGAGAGGGAAATATGGTGATGTATTAACACTCAGGCACTTTAGTGGATCCATAAAGCACTGGCAGACCTCATAAAGAGCTCACAGCGGCCTTTTATTGAATCCAGTAAGGAGACTCCGGCTATTTCTCTCTTTACCAGCTCTTTGATGGGAAGGTTTGGCTGATCATTAGGAAATGAAAGCTCCCTTCTCCATTTAATCGTGACTGCTTCCCTCAAAGATCTAGAGTTTTCGTCAAAGGACCTGTCCGTGGCGGCCTTACAAACTTTGATGTTTCAACACGAAACAAGAAGTTGTTATAACTCAGACATGCATTGTTCGATCTGCCTCAAAATTCACACATTTGATAACAGTCCTGACCTGAACACGTTTACCTGCCGATATCCAGACACAGTTATAGCGCCACCTGCTGGCAACAGGAAATTAAATGTTTTACACTGTAACAACCTCCTACCACAAATTTTATCGTATCAGCACCAAATTTGGGTGGTGTTATACGAAAGCTCTAGCGATGATATATTGTGAAGTGGCGGCCTGACAAACCTCAGTGTTTCGCCATGGAAGAGCAAGTACTTTTAACTCAACCACACAATGTCCGATCTGCCTAAAACTTCACATGGTTGATAAAATTACTATTCAGATCTGTGATTTTCTCAGGTTTTTCGTATATTTAAGCTTAATGTGATTTAGTCCACTGTTCTCTGTCATCCTAACGCCACCGGACGGTGGTGAGCCCAGGTGCGAGGTCCCTTTCATTGCTGCTTGAAGCTTTAATGAAGTTTTATTATTTGTTTACAAAGCCATTAATAATCTTGCTGACTTGCTCTGTCTGTACACCCCCTCTCGATCATTGAGATCTTATGATCTCAATTTACTGTGCCCAGAACACGACTTAAAAAATGAGGTAATCGAGGGTTTGCAGTTGCTGGTCCTAAACTCTGGAACACTCTGCCAATTCACATAAGACTTTCCCCCTGCATTTCTGTGTTTAAGTCCGTTTTAAAGAACTGTCAATTTTCTCTCACTTTTAATAATCCTTGATCACTGTTTTTTCTTTATTTGCTGAATGTTTCTGTTTTCTTCTCTGTCTTTAGTACTCCGCTCAACTTTGGTTGTTTTTAAATGTGCTTTATAAATAAATATTGTATTGTATTGGTTGGTTCTTGTAACTTGACCCATGGTGCATTTGCGGCATTCTGAAAAGAGATGTTTTCAACTCAATGCGCTGAAGGTGCGCCTGGAAAAGGAGAATGTTTTGCACCATGTGCACATCACAACCATGTTGCTCCCTATTTGCGCATGCATGCAGCACATCTCCATTTGAAATAATGAACTTGCGCATGCAAAATGATATGTGAATAGCCGCAAGTCTACGTTTACATGACAACGACAGAGGAAAAACTGAGAAGTTTTTCCAATGTGTTTTAAAAAAGGTTAATGTTTACATGACAATTTCAAAACGGTCTACAATGAAAATGACCAAACATGCTGTATTACAGTGTCAAGCGAGTAAATGTTTTTTTATCACATAAATGCGTGTTAAAATGGAGTAATATTACAGACAAGAAAAAATAGATCATTGTTTCAGTCAAAATCCACACTAACAGTCTACTTTTGGGATGGTAAATCATGATGGCAGCTCTTTTTATCAATCTCTTGAGCTGTCATGTGCGTGTGTGTCTCTGTCCAGAGATGTAGCGGCCCGTAACTGTCTTGTCGGAGAGGAGAGTGTGGTGAAGATCAGTGATTTCGGGATGTCCCGTGAGGAGCAGGATGGCGTTTATTCTGCTACTGGAGGAATGAAGCAGATCCCAGTCAAGTGGACAGCACCAGAGGCCCTCAACTATGGTAAAACTAGTCCAGGGGTTTTAGAAATGTACAAAATACTATTAGAGTGTTCAGCCTTATAATCAAAAAATGTCAGCAGAATCAGCTTAATTTAGACATTAAGAGAGAGAATCATTCAAACCCTAAAATGACGTTGGTGAATTAGTAACGGCTCTTGCTGTTCTGACGTCAGCTGCAGATGTGAATGAATGGTGAAAGAAAGTAGTTCCTCTTCCAAAAGAGTTTTAAGACTCCCTGTGTTTGATTGTCTTTTTTATATAAACGATTATGTCGTTGAACTGTTGTATAAGCACAATATCACACTTGTAGCAGTGCGATGTGGCTGTATATTGTCTCTGGTGGGAAACTAAGGCGACGCATTCATCCCACCAGTGCTGATATACAGCCACATTGCACTGCTACTCATGTGATACTTCTCATTTATAATAGAGTATTATTTTTATTATTATTGTCATTTTTACATTTAATAAATTATAAAATATTTAACTGTAAAAAATGATGTGTGTTTGTGTGCATGTATGTATAAAATATCTTTATTTGTAAACATCTTTAAATATTAGAATTAGAATAATAAATGGATGGCTCCAGAGGCCCTCAATTATAGTATGTATGAAACCCTGTAGTAGATAACCACTGACAACAAATGTATCAACAGTTTAAACAGATATATTGTTATACTGAGACACTGAACGTATTGATTAAAATGAGAAGATAAGAGGTCAAACAGAGCTGAGAGATCTGCATTATGTGTCCTGCTGGTGAATGAAGTGTTAGCACTGCTCTCTGCTGGTTCACCAGGGCGGTACACCACAGAAAGTGACGTCTGGAGTTTTGGAGTGCTGCTTTGGGAGACATTTTCCAGAGGAGTCACGCCATACACCATCCCAACTGTCATGAGCAACCAGCAGACCAGAGACGAGGTGGAGAGAGGTAAAACACTCTGACACTGGACAAACATTAGCAAAGAAGATTGGAGGAAATGCTTTTGTTGATTTACCCTTTGATCATTTTGCTCAGATTAACCAAAAAAATCAGGAGATGCTTGGGTTTGTTTTTGGATGAGAGTAGAAACTTTTTATTTTCTAGACCTTTTTTAGAGACTTTCTGAACTCAAGACCTCAGTTAGCTTCTGCGGTTCTCCATCTGTGATTCTTAGAGATTTTTAGCCTGTTGAATGATCATCCAAACTAACAGACAGACACTTTTAGTGTGATTCATAACACTTCCAGTTGACTGCAAGAATTGTGCATTTTGAATGTTTTTTTTACAGCTGAGAGAGCTCAAATGTGCTACAAGTTAAAGTCTGCTTGAAATAAAAAAATTACTATGTGTATTTTGCTAGCTCACGTTGTTATACTTTGTTATACGTAAATAAATAATCCTTGCAAGTTAATCCACTGAAAAAAGTTTGTTTTGGCAATCTTCGATCAAAGACTTGCCATTTGCTTTTGAATTTGGATTGGCAGATAAAAAAACCTCTAAGAGCCATCTGACAATGTTGGTCTGAAATGAGCATTTTTCTCAGTTATTTCACTTTAAAGGCCATAAAAATAATCTATTCTTTGCCAAATGACTGAACCTACAGGAGCCTGAGAAAAATGCTCATATTAAATATATATTAGTGCTGGGAAAAAAATTAACCACATCTAAAATAAAAGTTTTTGTGTACTGTGTATATTTTAGTTATTTTGTTATGTAAATATAAACTCACCGGCCACTTTATTAGGTACAATTGTCCAACTACTTGCTAACTCAAATTTCTAATCAGCCAATCACATGGCAGCAGCACAATGCATTTAGGCATACAGACATGGTCAAGATGATCTGCTGCAGTTCAAACCGAGCATGAGAATGAGGAAGAAAGGGGATTTAAGTGACTTTGAACTTGGCATGATTGTTGGTGCCAGACTGGCTAGTATGAGTATTTCAGGAACTGCTAATCTACTAGGATTTTCAGGCACAACCATCTCTAGGGTTTACAGAGAATGGTCAGAAAAAGAGAAAATATCCAGTGAGCGGCAGTTCTGTGGGCACAAATTTCTTGTTGATGCCAGAGGTCAGAGGAGAATGGCCAGACTGGTTCCAGCGACAGAAAGGCAACAGTAACTCAAATAACTTTATGTGCAATGGTGCAACCGAAACACCGCAGGTAAAAACAAATTGACGCACGTGCGCAGAAAGCCATTTCCGCGCGCCTCATATGCGCAGCCCCCTGATCCTGGTTGTTTACTGGACATGCACGCCAATATGCGTCAACACGCAAGTCGACAAAGCTATAGTTGATATTATATGATGATGATGATGATGATGATGATGTTACTTTGATGCATGGCTATGAAGCAGAAAGGAGGAATGAGTCAGGGAGGTAACTAAGACTTCAAAAACATAATACTAGGCCATGAGTCAGGTCTAAAACAACAGATAATTCTATAAAACATGTATTTTTTTTTATTCTATAGAACTGTCATAATTAATATTCATGCAAAAGTCTTAGAATATTACTCCAGTTGTGTCTTTACATTGTTTTTCAGTTCCCTGTAGAATTGATTTTTGTTATTTATTTATAATAATTAATGCACAATAATAATAATAATAATAAACAAATTTTTATATTTATTGAAAATAAACAAATATATTTAAATTTATTAGTAATTATTTTAAATGTATATAGTTAAAATATAGATTTAAATATTTTATAAAACATATATATATATATATATATATATATATATATATATATATATATATATATATATATATATATATATATATATATATATATCAACCACTTAGTGTCCTTATTTCTTGGGGGATGAGGAAGGGGGTATGTTTGGGGTGGTTTCTCCCAGGGTGCCATTTAAACTAGAACCACCACTGGCCGCACTAACCCGTTGGAGCGAGTGTTTACACCTGGACCTCCTTCACGGGACAAGGATGGAAACTTTTGCTTTGTGTTTACCTTATTATTAAAGTTGTTGCACGTCCACTGGTTCCCACCTCAAAATGAGTGAGTTTGAGCTACTTCTACAATAAGGTAGCGTTCAGAAAAAACAAAACACCAGCAAAGAAACTCAACACAGACGATCATAGACACTTACTGCCAGCTAGCGTTTTGAAAGTATACACACAGAAGTATAAATGCACGACAACGCACAAGGCATGCACTGTGGGTCACGCCAATTACTCGACTCAGAAGTATAAACCAGGCTTTAGACCAGGGAACAGTATTCCACACGTCACCGATACATCACGACTAAACAAGCAGGTATTTTGTTTCAGCAGGAAATGCATACTGAAATAAAAGTCTGCAGCAACTTCTGGTTTACGCGGATACTACTGTGCTGTGATTGCAATCATTTGTTTGCAGTAAAAGCAGAGTTAGCTGATAACAGCTTAAGCAAAAGATCAAAAGGTTTACTCAATGAAGACTTTTTTAATAGCAGCCTTTGTTCAAATTTAATACATTTTCCAATATAACTGAAGTGTTGTTTCTGTGTTTAGGATATCGGATGCCGGCCCCAAATAACTGTCCGGATGAAATCTACACCCTCATGTGTCAGTGCTGGCAGTACGACCCAAGAAAAAGACCCTCATTTCTCAAACTAAAGGCAGATCTCGGTGCTTTATGTCAGTAACACACACACACACTCACACACACTCAGGCTCACATGTACAGTAAAGGCAGTTTGTGTTTTATTGAGGCCAAATCAAGGGATATTTTATTAATATTATTATTTGTACATCATGCAAATCTACAGTAAGTGTGCACCATCAGTGCCATCTTACAGAAAAGAGATTATAATTAATTATTACATCATTTTATAAACATATTCAGTGTTCTGGAAGCTTGTTTCCTACAAGGCTTTATTAGAGGTATTTCAATGAAGTATAAATTATTATTGTTTTGCACATGTGATCACATGAAGCTAAGTCTGTACATACACCTGTTAATGTATGAAAGTACTGTGAATAAATCTGATTCGTAATTATTGATAGTAACTGCTTTTATTCAGCAGGGGCGCACTTAAATTGATCAAATGTGGAAGCAGATATATAAGCGTAATCTCTCGAAAGAATTGTATTTGAAATGGACAGCCATAAACATATTTCTGGACCAAAAGTCAAATATTATAATGGTTGGGTTGGATGACTTTGAGAAATGATTATCTTAATAATTACTAATTTTGCAAATAAAACATTTATTTTCACCATGGCTATAATAAGCAAGTATTTAATGAGCATAAGTATGATACTATTTGTAAATGAAACATGTTTTACATTGCAGAATATTGTCTATAAAAATAAGTGCTTTAAAATGAAATAAAATATTTTAGAAAATAAAATAAAAATTGTAATAAAATTTAAGAAAAGGAAATATATATGTATATACAGTTGAAGTCAGTTTAATTAGCCCTTCTATTTATTTTTTTCCCCAACTTGTGTTTAACGGAGAGCAGATTTTTTCAACACATTTCTAAACATAATAGTTTAATAACTCATTTCTAATAACTCATTTATTTTATCTATGCCATGATGACAGTAAATAAGATTTTACTGCATATTTTTCCAAGACACTTCTATACAGATTAAAGGGACATTTACTTAACTAGGTTAATCAAGTTAACTAGGCAGGTTAGGGTAATTAGGCATGTTATTGTATAACGATGGTTTGTGCTGTAGACTATCGAAAAAAAAATAGCTAATAATTTTGACCTTAAAATGATTAATAAAAAATTAATAACTGCTTTTATTCTAGCCGAAATAAAACAAATAAGACTTTCTCCAAAAGAAAAAATATTATCAGACATACTGTGAAAATTTCCTTGCACTGTTAAACTTCTTTTGGGAAATACTTGAAAAAGAAAAAAAATTCAAAGGGAGGGCTAATAATTCTGACTTCAACTGTAAATATACTTGATATTAAATTAGATTCATATTAAAACCGAACACAAATATTTACTACTACTATTATTAATAAATTGGATTCATATTAAAAACAGATATAATACTATTACTATTATACTAATACTATTAAAATAAAAGGCGAGGCAGTGGCGCAGTAGGTAGTGCTGTCGCCTCATAGCAAGAAGGTCGCTGGGTTGCTGGTTCGAACCTCGGCTCAGTTGGTGTTTCTGTGTGGAGTTTGCATGTTCTCCCTGTCTTCGCGTGGGTTTCCTCCGGGTGCTCCGGTTTCCCCCACAGTCCAAAGACATTCGGTACAGGTGAATTGGGTAGGCTAATTGTGTGTGTGTGTGTGTGTGTGTGTGTGTGTGAATGTGTGTATGGATGTTTCCCAGAGATGGGTTGCAGCTGGAAGGGCATCTGCTGCGTAAAAACTTGCTGGATAAGTTGGCGGTTCATTCCGCTGTGGCGACCCCGGATTAATAAAGGGACTAAGCCGACAAGAAAATGAATGAATGAAAGAATATTAAATTAATTTTTTTTTAATTGTTCAGAAAATCAAACAAATGTAACAAAACTCCTTGACATGTACGGTATGTCATCATCTTCTCACGGCAGACTCAGTTATTTACTCCAGCAAAAATTCATTTGGCTGTTTTTATTGAGCAGCTCAGGAATCCGTCATATGCTCAATGTATTTCCTCCATTGCTGTTACATAAAACGTTCAAATAAATTACATAAAGCTATCTGCAGAAGTGTGAGACACACAGGTGTGAAAAGGTGCGTATCGGTTCATGGATCTCATCTGCCTCGGGGACGAACAATACAAATCATAAGATATAACAGGTGACACATTGTGCACAAACCATGTGCATAACTTGATTGCATGATATTTTGGGCTCATGCAGGACTATCATATGACACTTCTTTCATTTCTCCCGTTCCAGGATTACCTTTGCTTTGAAAAATGATAGCAGTTATTAGGTCAAGTCACATTAAGTCCAAGCTCTATGCAGGCTTTATCGAGCAATATCTGATAAGTGTATCATCTGAGTGCACATTCGGTTGATGAGGTCATGATCAGCTGAGCGGTTCACATTTGCTTGATCTTTTGACATTCGATTGAAGACAGAATCATTAATTTCACTATTGTGAAATTTCCAGAGTGCGGTTAAACAGGGAAAGGGAACATTCTAAGTATTTCATATATTATTGAGCAGGCCTTAACATTTTAAACTAATTTTAAAGTCACTATTATTAGTTGTCCATTGGCTACAGAAAAAAAGTACTGTTGTCCAATGACAATGTATTGCCTAATTAACCTAACCATAGATATTTACACTACAGGGTGGGCCATTTATTTGGATTCACTTTAATAAAATGGGATTGGTTGGTGATATTGACGTCTTGTTTGTGCCACATTAGTATATGTGAGGGGGCAAACTTTTCAAGATGGGTGGTGACCATTTTAAAGTCGGCTTTCTTGGATCCAACTTTTGTTTTTTCAATAGGAAGAGGATTTGACACATCAAACTTATTGGGAATTTCACAAGAAAAACAATGGTGTACTTGGTTTTAACGTAACTTTACGTTAAAACATCTCGAGATCTACCTGAGCTCAAACTCCCCTCTCGCCCTGCAACGGGAGAGAACCCCTGGAGGATCTCATGAGCTCAGGGCTCTCTCCCGGGACAGTGTGCCAAACTAGCTCATGGTTTCCGCTACATTCATTCTTCCATGGCGGGGCGCCACGCCTAAATTGTTCCCGCCACGGCTACATTTTAAAAGGTAGGTAAAGTAAAACAGCGCAAACTTTTCTGTAATCGTAGTAGTGCTGTGCGTCATTTGTTTAACTCTTTAAGGTTACGTGCCGACTGACTGACTGACAGGTGCGTGATATGTGAGGCCAGCAAACACGACGTATAGCCGTTTCACTTTACTTTAGACCGCATTAATGCCGCTCTGTAGGTTTATTGGAGACATTCATAAATATTCTTACCAAATCTAATAAATGTTGGAGACATACTCGCTACATAACCGCACTAAATCGCACTTCAGCAGCATTTATTTGAGAGTGCACAAGAAGATCTGCGCTTGAGCAGCGTATATTTGAGGGGGCGTGCAAGAAGTTTTGTGCACAAGCAGAGGAAATCGGCGCACAAGACAAGAGATTCGCATGCTGTAGGCTATTACATAAATGCGATCCGGACTTGTAATACTGCTCTCACGACATTTGTCATTGAAATAACGCTACAAGTTGGTAGATCTGTGTGAAAAAAGGCCTACGGCCACAGCTTAAACTAAAACTGAATTTAAAACTTTTCATTTCCCAAAGAAGGTCAAGAACTCCATCTTTACACCATTTTAGGATAAGTCTATTCATAAATTGCTAGTTCTGAGTAAGCTTGTGCATGATTGTGCATATGCAGTGACGTTTTTGCATTAATTGTGCATTTATTGTTTAAGTACTAAATTTTTTGTGACGGGTGTATATTTCACAACACAGGCTCATTGTGAAAACGTACTGTATACATTTCTGGAGAATGCAAATTATGTAGCCAGAGCTACGTTAGGCTGCATTTCGTCTTTAAAACGAACTCTATTGGGCGGTATGACGCCGCTAACAGCTTCTGTTTCTTTTTGTGTTACTAGCTGACCGCTTACATCTGTGTGGATGGCTTTTCCTCTGTTACTAGTTCAAATCTGGCAAAGAACGGTACCACAAAGCAGCTAAAACAAAAGGCAAAAAACAAAACAAACAAGTAAATAACAGGGTGAGAATGTGGTAAGATCCGAAAACATGGTAAAAATCAGACAGCTGTGAGGGCGTATCTTTTTCTGGATTGCTTTTGAAAACACTGTTAGTTGGGTTAAGGAAGGCAGTGATCGGAGAATTGGTAAAAGTGAAGAATTAAAAAACCTTAATAGAAAGCAGGCTCAGTTGGGCATGACCTTTTCTCCACTGGCCAAACGTCTAGTGCAGAGCTGCAGTCAAGGCGCTGGAGGCAGGAAGATGGACCTCAGCAAAGACTCGTCTGTCCCTGGAGCGTCTCATGCTCTCCACTCCTCCATGACCACCACAGTAGCTGCTCAGGATGCGGCCTGGTCCAGGCTTATGGAAACCCAGGGATTGTCGCGGATCTTGGATCACATCAGTGGCACTGCATAGTCTCTGAAGGCCTCGGGATGAGTATCCCCAGGTAGAAATAGAGGATAATGAGAATAATTAGCATAGCTGCTGCTCATAGTGTATATGCTCATGTGCGTGCTCATGTGCGTGGGGCACATTCATGCATCATACTGTTAGGTGATGCACTGAGTGTATGCTTTGCTAAAAAGATAGGTTTTTAATCTAGTTTTGAACTGAGAGAGTGTGTCTGAGCCTCGGACGTTATCAGGAAGGCTATTCCAGAGTATAGGAGCCATAAATGAGAAGGCTCGACCTCCTTTACTCGACTTTGCTTTTAAGGGTACTACGAGAAGACCTGAGTTTTGAGATCTTAAAGAGTGAGTTGGATTGTAGCAAGACAGAAAGTTGGTTAGATAAACAGGAGCTAGATTATTAAAAGTGTTATATGTGAGAAGTAATATTTTAAGATCAATACGAAACTTAACAGGCAGCCAGTGTGTAAGGAGGATAAAATTGGCGTGATATGCTCATATTGTCTAGACCTGGTAATGAGCCTGGATTTATATTTTATGGGATTTAATTTAGAAGACAGATATGTAGCAAATACAGTGTATGTAAATGCCTCTACATTTACTGTCTGTGGCACATTTGGAGACAGCGGTGCACTAGTGCATGAACAAAAATGTTCCAGCATGTTAAATGAAATTATTTCCACGTGTTAGAGGGTAAGAATAAATGTGTTCTGATCTATATCAGGGATTCTCTACAGAGAAAAGTCAATGCTTTAGCTGAAGAGAGGAATGAAGATCGAGTATGTGATTGTTAAAGACTCGTGGATTAGTGTACGGAGACTAGATTTGCAGTTTTACAATATTAATATCACATTTTCACACAAACTTTTCTACTTTTGCCATGTTTCTAGTTGAAATGTCAACAAATTCTTAAATCAAGAAGCACTGGTA